GTGGGATGGGGAGACAGGCCGTGTGCATGCTTCTGTGCATGTGCATGCTGCTAGTTTAGTGCGTGACCTGGACAGGATCCCCTCGGGGTTACAGACACGAGTCTCGTTAAACACAATAACCAACCAACCAACCAACCTGGGTAGGTTGACTGACGAACCCTGCTGGTTGGGCTACTCCAACCATTGAATATGCTGTCAAGGTGAGCCGGGCAGCTAACTACACTAACCTGCTTACATCATCAACTCCACCTTTTGTTCTATGCAGCCGTTCATCGTCGGCCCTTGCATCAGAAGAGAGGCCAGACCGTCGTCAGAGAGACCATCATGACGGCCGCGGGCGGCACAAACGGCGCCATAGAGCCCCTTCTCGACAGGCAAGCACAGCACAGAACGGAGAAATGCCACCCACGGAAGAGGCGGCTGCACACTCGCTCGCCCATCTCATGACATTAATTGCCTCTGTGTGGCCTGTCTGCCTGTGCAGTCATCTTCGTCTGAGTCTTCTTCTTATCCTTCGAGCAGTAGCAGCAGTGAGTCGTTGTCCAGTGAGTCGTCGGAGGACAGGCGGAAACGGAAAAGAGAGCGGGGACGGTCCCATCGCAGCGCAAAAGGTAGGTAGGTATTTCGGCAGGCACAAAGGCGGCGCTGCGTGGCTGCCTGTGCGGACGGATCTGATATGTGTGTATCCCTCTTTCTGTCTGTCTGTGTGTGTGTGTGTGTGTCATGTGATTGATGTGTGTGTTGTGTTGTGCAGGTGGTCGCAGGCGCGTTTATGATGCTGTGAGTCCGAGCAGCTCGGATGAGCACCGCCATCGCATGAAGAAACACCGTTCACGCTCACGAAGTAAGCAGCCAATCGGTGGAAGGAAACACACCCACAGGACACATCACATTGCTAAACACACACATGGATGGATGGACACATATGTGTGTGTGTGTGTGGATGTGCCCGTGTGTCACACAGTCAAGAGCCGCCGCAAGGCCGAGAGTTCTCCGAGTAGCAGCAGTAGCGACCAACACGAGCGGCACCGACGAAAGAAATCACGCCATCACAGTAAGACAGAGGGACAACACACGTGTCCCGGCCTCTGCCACTGAGCTCTCCTTGTGTGTGTGTGTGTGTGTGTGTGTGTGTGTCGGTTCAGAGAAGCGTTCGTCCCACCATGGTTCGTCTGACAGACGGCATGTGTCGCCAATCAGTGAGCCCACCCCTGAGGCCTCTGACAGCGGCCCAGGGCACCTGACGCACCACCCACACGAGAAGCGAGGTGCGTGTGGTGGCACAACAGACTCACAAGGCCACTCACAGGTCGATTCTGGTTATGTGTGTGTGTGTAGGCGGCTGTGGTGGTGCTAGTGCTAGTGTCGACGGTATGAGCGTGGCTGCGCATCGGCACCACGGCAGAGGGCCACCAAGTGAGTTGTGAGTTTCGCCAGCGATGAATGCATTATTTGGTGCATTCTCTGTCTCTCTCTCTGTGTGTGTGTGTGTGTGTGCAGGTAGTGCTGCCTCTACTGACGGTCGCCATGTGCACCACGGCGCCGCCGCACCCATCTTGCCACAGAAGGCCCTGCATGCGCCTGACGATGGGACGTACCCCGGCGGCTACGCGCGGCTCAAGGGCGACGCCGTCTCTATCATGGTCAGGGAAGGCAAATCGCTCGACGTCAGCTATGGTAAGCAGGTGCACCGACGGACGGCAGCAGTGCAGTGCATATATACGCGTACACCTCTCTGTCGCCTCGCCCCCCTCTTTGTGTTGTGTGCAGCTCAGTTTCTGGCCGGCAGGAAGGCTGGCAAGGCTGCTGGTGCCACCCATCAGCCCGTTGCGCATGAGACCGTTGCTCACCCGCAGTCATTGTGGCCTCCCCAACCCCTCCCCCACCAGCCCCCGGCAGCGAAAGTGAGAGTGCGGCCCTTCCACATGTCGCGGGACCCACCCAAAAGATTCGAATTCTCCAAGCGCCCCGGAAGGTTCCTAGCCATCGGTCGTGTGTCCTATCTCTCCCCGCCCGGCGGCTGCCCCTCGTCCGGCAGCGGCACGCCACAGACACCCCAGACACCGTCGTCGACCCCCAAATCAGGCAGCCCAGGCCCACCGCCCACCCGCTCGCCCCTCGACTATCGACCAAATCCGATGGTCCGCAAGAAGGACAGGGGCATCCTCTCGCTCGCCCCGCACCCGAACGGGACGAAGCAGAGGCCCTCACGGTCGAGGTCGAGGTCGAGGTCGCCGCTGGATCGTTCGAGGGAGAGGTCTCCCTCACCGATCTCACCTTCAGACGGGGGGCAACGTCATGCGAATCGGCCTGTCACGGAGGAGGAGAGACGAGAGGGGGAGAGGGAGGGGGAGAGGGAGAATGAGAGAGCGGCTTCCCGCTTCACCATTGTCCGACAGGAGGAGGACATGGAAGTGGTGGAGGAGGGGGGCAAGAGGGGTGATGACGGTGCTCAGCAGCAGCAGCAGGGCGGGACGCCAGTGGCGGTGCCCGATGAGGTGACCCCGTCCACCAACACGCAGCCGTCGGCCAGTGAGAGGCAGCTCCCTCCAGCAAACGTCACCGCCATCGTCATCGACGACAACAGCGACCAAGACCAAGACCCACACAAGACGGAGGAGCAGCCTCCGCTCCCTCCCCCTATCCCTGCAGCACCGCCACCTGCCCTGTCCTCCTCACAGGCCCCCTCTGATGATCCCACACCCTCCACACAGCCACAGCCGCCTACAGTCGTTCGGCTGTCGCCCCTGACCAAGCGGCAGCTGTCACCAATAACAGCCAAGCCGTCATTCGGCGACAGCGTCCCCGCGGTCGATGCGGCAGGTGACGGCATGATCAAAGAGGAGCCGCAGAAGACCGAAAGTGACGTCAAGGAGAAGGCTGTAGAGCAGCAGACTGGGGAAGATAGAGCGGCTTCGGGTGGCGAGATGGAGGTCGTGGAGATTGAGGAGCCGGCAACGGATGCGCGCGGGGCGACCGGACCCCCGGCCCGAGAGGAGCCGACAGCGCCCATTGACCTTCAAAACCCCACCGAGAACATTGAGGTTGCAGTGAGCGCCCATGACCCCTCAGTTGCCTACCAGCCCACTGCCCCAGCGCCACCAGCACCACCACCACTTGTCGAGACCGCTGCTGCTGTTACAGAGGATCCCGCTATCGAATCCCTGGAGCCCCTCGTGTGTCTCGATACATGGAAAGGCTCCCCTGTGCTGCCAGAGTACGCAGGGGGCTTCGGTGAGTTCGCAGTGCTGGAGGGTCAGGGCATCGGCCGCCAGACGCTGCAGGTGCTGGGCAAGGGCAAGGGGGATGAGTGGGAGGGGGCGCTGCAGAGGCGGGAGGCCAGATATAAACGGGAGATAGCCGCTGCGCAGAGGTACGCTCGCACACAGACACGCAGACACGCAGCAAGGAGAAAGGGGCGGCCAAATGATGCAGGCCGACAGGCCAGCAGGCAGGCAGGCCTCTGTCTGTGTGTTTGCTCTTGTCAGGCGTGCAATGTGGGTGACCCTTGTCGCTCGGAATTGGCTCACGTGACCATCCCTTTGGGGAGCTGTTGGGCTCGGTGCTGCATCTCGGCGAGATGTCGCACGGAGTTGGACAATTCGCTTACTGGATGGATGGCAAACGGCACATGAATTCCAAATACCTCCCGGCTTGTGTACATATGCTGCTTCCTTCCTTGGTCGAATGGTGCGTGAGTGCCGTGCGACCGACCGATCGATCATTGTCTAGTGCAGATCCTGACTGACCAGTGAGTGAAGCAACCGATGGATGCTGCGTGCTCTCTCTGTGTGTGTGCCGGACGGGCAAGTGGTTGGACCTTACGTCTTATGTCCTTTCGCAAGTCCTACGTGTGTGCGCGCATTGACTGTGGCATACACACATGCATCCATCGATTGTCGCCATAAATAAGCAAGCAGGCAGCGTCATCACAGAACCACACAACTGACAGGCTGACGCGGGCGGTCGCCAAGCAAGCTCCAGGTACCGTGGACTCTGCTCGTCGGGGAGAACACATCGCCATCCCTTGTGGGGCCGGGGGAGAGGCCGGGGGAGAGGCGGAGTTCTCACACTTCCACCAGAGACCACCATACCCCATCGAGCAAGCTTGGCGTTGACAAAAGGCCGACATACGACGCATCTCTCTCTCCCCCCCACCCAATTCACTCACTGCCTCTTCCTTCTCTTTTTTCTTTCCTTGAAGTCGCTCTTGCTCCCCTCCTGGGCTCTCTGCTGCAGCTCCCCATACTTGCGCTTACTCCACTTGTCAACCTCAGCACTCTTAAGCAGGTCGCTTAGCAGACTCTCGCCGCCCCGCCTGTTCCGCCGCCTGCTCAGCGCCCCCCTGGCGATGCTCTCCCTCCCCCCGCCCACCCCAGGCATCCCCCCCTCCACCACCTTGGCAATGTGGAAGTGAGTCGGCAGCTTCTTAGAGTCCTGGCCCTTGTAGAACCGCTTCGGGTCAGCCACACCCCGCAGACGCAAAGCCAGCAGCTCGTTCTTCACCTCGGGGGTCAGTTCCTGCTTGGGCAGGCCGAACCACTGGTCCAGCTTGTCGGCCTGCTCCTTCTTGCGCTGCTTCTGCCGCTCCTTGGTGCTGTCGAGAGGAGCGGCCTGCAGGGGGGAGGACAACGACTGCATCTGGACCACTTGAGGGGGGAGCTTGGCCTTAAGCTGCTCGATGGTTCGCTGACGCGCCGAGAGAGCCGACTGCGTGTTTGTGGCGGATGCGGGGAGGGGGTCGTCTTTGGCCGTGGTTCGTTTCTTCTTGCCGTGATAGTGCTGCAGGAGCCTGACGTTGCTGCGTAGGTCGACTGTGGTGTCATGCTGGCTGTCGTCGAGTGCTGAGATGTCGATGGCCTCAAGCTCTGGGACGCTGGTGGGGATGAGGGGACGCGCAGAAGCCGCCTTGACCTTGCCCAGATCAGATGACGCTGACATCGGGATGAAAAAGATGCTCGAAGAGATCCACAGCGCGGGAAGAAGGGGAAAGAACGAGGAAAGTGGGAAGAATGGCGACAAGTGCCAAGCTCGCATGAAGCGACTAGAGGATTGAACGAATGGCTCGGGTGCACTGGCAGCGCTGGACGGTCCCGAGTAGGTGCTGTGAGGTGAAATCGATGGGTTGGTGCATTGCGCCGCACAACGCTGTTTCATCTCAGTGACACGTGATCATTAAGTAAGACTGGCATTACAGTGTCACCAGACAAGAGCCGGTTGCGAAAGCGTCCCTGTCATGGGGGAAGGAACGGTTGCGAAAAGGAGGCAGATCGTCGGATCGTCCAGACGAGAGATAAGCTCGCAAGCGACGAGAGGATTGAACGAATGGCTCGGGTGCACTGGCAGCGCTGGACGGTCCCAAGTAGGTGCTGTGAGGTGAAATCGATGGCTTCGTGCGTTGCGCCCCGCAATGCTGTTCATCTCAGTGACACGTACTGCAAGCACACTGAGCTCGTGTGATCATTAACGAGACTGGCATTGTGTCGCCAGACTCCATACACTCACGCACCTCTCCCTCTAGCCGTATGTGGGATGCATAGAGATGACAGTCTGCGTGCAAATGCGGCGGGGAGGATGCATGCACTCACACAGACATCACATGCCGTCCCCCTGTCAAAGCCGCTCTTGCTCGTGTCAGAATCGTTCGCAGATCAATCACCAGGAAGCCGCCCCGCAGGTGTAGACAAATACAGGAATAGAGAAGCCATGCGATCAGACAACAGGTATGCACAACTTGGAGAGATAGAGCATATTATGCAGTTGCAACACAGGGACTGGACTGGACATCTAGGCGACTCGGCAATCATACAGTCATACTACACCTCTCCCCCCTCCGGGCTCTGTGCACCCACGTTGACCAGCAGCCCCTTTCACTGGGCTGACAGGCTGCGTAAGGAGGACGGAGCCTAGAGGAAGGGGACGCGCAGACATGACATCACTAACCAAGCTGCTGGTCATCCATCAACACGGACACACAAAAAGGCCATGCCCTCGTGTGCATCTATACCTATCCATGCAGACAGAAAGCTCGATCCAGTCAGTTGAGCCCATTTCCGGCAACCCCGCAGCTAGGTGAGGTGACGCACAGACATTCCTCACCCCACACCAGCTGCCAGTCAGTCATGGGCAGCACCAGAGGCCATACTGCACGTATGCTCACAAAAGAGAATGGACGACACAAAAAGTTGTGCACAGCGGTCTGCGTCAGTTGGCCTCGAGGAGCTGTCGGATGCATGGGTCCTCACTGGTGGGTGCGGGGCAGGTCTTGATGGCGTCGTTGGCCATGGCGTCGGCCATGTCGTTGCCGGGCACTCCCGTGTGACTGTACACGTGGACGAACCGCAGCATCACCGGACCCATGCTCTGACGCTCCCACGACACACACACACACACGCACACACACAAACCGATGGGTGTGGTGTAAGCCTTGGGTCGACTGATGGTACGGATTGATGATTCGAACACACCTGCACGAGCTTGTCGAGTGCCTTGATCAGGTCCTGGTTCTCGACAGCCAGCACAACACAACACATGGGAGGGGGGCATCGGTCTGGCTCGTCTCGTTGCGTCTGCATGACCTGGTTGTTGGCGTTGCGCCATCCGTTCTGCTTCCACTTGGGCGTCCACTCCCAGACACACTTGATGGCATACTCCGAGTCAGAATACAAGACAATCGGGCAAGACGCCAGAGGCCCTTGACTGCAAACACACACACACACGTGTCGATGAAGTGTCCGCTCCATCCTTCCCTTCCGTGGGCACCTACCGGTATGCGTGCAGCGCCTTAATGATGGCGAACAGCTCCGCCCGCTGGTTGGTCTGGCGGCCGTACAGCCGACCTCTACAAACACATAATGAATGCACACAGAGAGAGAGCCAAGTGAGCAGCCGCATGGCAGGAACAGGCCTTGCTTCGTATGCGCTCGAAGGCACCGTACCTGCCCTCGACCCCCTCGCCCGGCGCCACAAACGACCAGCCAGCCTGTGCGTTCGGTTGGCCGTTGTTGATGCACGCACCGTCCGTGAAGACGTAAGCGAAGTGAGGGAGGGGCTTGACGTGAAGAGTCATTGCAGGGCCCCGGCCGCCGAAGGTGATGTTCCCGCCTGCCGCCATGATCCATCCACCACCAATGATGGCCTGCAGCAATGGCATCCATACGTCGAAAGAAGCTTCCTTCGTGCGTGCGGTGACTGAATCGACTCCCTCCCTGCCCACCTGCACTCGCTCGTCGCCGAAGAAGTGTCGGTCCTCGACGACAATGGCCGTGAGGGGGATGCCATTGCCATTGGCTGCATTCGACACACGAGCCGTCACAGTGGCTATCGGACACATGAGCCCGCCTCCGTGACACTGAATAGGGAAGGAAAGACAGAAACCGGTCGCTGGCTGCGCGAGCGGTCATCACAGCACCACGTACTGCACCACCCACCTGCACGTTGACACGGTCCATGTCTTTGCGCAGCGGGTGGAGGTGCTTTGTGTTGAGCCATGTGGGAAGCGCCTCCCTCGAGAAGACAGTGCAGCCGCCGCCGGTGCTGACGAGACAGCGGATCTTGGAACCGCCCGAGAAGATGACCTCGCCGAGCATATCATCAGGAAAGTTCTCTCCGGCGACCAGCAAGCCGCCAACAGTGGAGCTCATAGAGTACGGAGCCGGGCCGTAATCGGTGGTCCCTGACATGGCGCAGGAAAGCCCAGACAAAAAGAGCCGCAAGGAACGGTTGGGAAGAGGAATCGTCGAGACGACGAATGAAATAATGGAACAGAGTCAAAATCGGTCCCGTATTGGCCACCGTGCAGTGAAGTGGTGTTCATCATCAAGGGCAGCAAGCGGTTCACCTACTGCGCCGAGTAAGGCAATGGAGTGAATGCACAACCGCCGGTGATGAAGAGCCGCACATCAAACACGATGACCATCCATCCATCGATTCATCCATCGGTTGAGAGGGACAGCCAACAAAACCAAGCCAAAACCTCGCTCACAGACACACCCACGTACGGCAGACAGGCAAGCATCGCAAGTCACACAAGGAAAGGGGCGGCCAGCCACTCCTCACTTCCAGATCCATCCATCCATCCACGCACCATCAGGAAGCGCATGCATCACGCAGCAAACAGGCGTTGTTCAGCTACAGTGGCTAGGTAGTGAGGGTATGGCTGGCTGGTCCTGGCTAAGCGGCTAGAGAGGTCGGTCACTGCCTCCTGTGCGTGACGTGGTTCTTAATGTGTGGTTGTTGTGCTGAGGCGTGCCGATGGGAAACAGTTCCGGCCCGACCACGGGGTGGGCCGCCTCTTCGGCAGCCCGCTCCTCCTTCTCGGCCTCACCAGCGTCATACATACGGTCCTACACACACGCACACATATGGATGGATGGATGGGCACACAGCCAGATAGATGGGCATGGTCGGCTAGTGGTGTGTACCAGAGGTTTGATTTTGATGTCTGCGTATGGCTGTTCTTGTTTGACGTCGATGAAGCCCTTGGTTCTGAGCACCAGCAGCTCGAAGAACCCTCGGGCCACCTGATCGACCGATGCAACAGCACAGGTGTGCAGCAAGTGTGCTGCTGTGTGCTGGGGTGCTCGCTGCCCGACTGACCGTTTCGCGATTCATGCCCTTGCAGACTTTCTTGAATGAGAGGTCGCCGTCCTTAGCCTTGCTCTTGTCGGCCATCTCCTTCAGATACATCATCATCTGACCCACCACACACAGCACAGAGCAAAATCGACCACATGTTTGCATTCTCATTACGCGTGCGTGTGTCGGTTTCTTACACACCTTGGTGGTGTTTCTGGAGTATCCGATGAAGTTCTGCTGCTGGCTGTTTTGCTGCTCCGACTCGCGGCGCTCCAACACACCCTCCGGCCCCTGACGCAACACATCAGCTAATCCACCACCATCACCTACTGCAAAAGCACCAACAAGCAACAACAAGCACATGAAAGGACGGGCGGACGGACGTCTGCTTGGTGGCATTTATAACACACTCACCGTGGTCCTCCGGGTCTGATGGCTGTCCGTCCATCTCCTCCTCGTTGCGGCCAGGAGGGGCGGGAGGGGCCGCCGCGGCAGCAGCAGCGTCACCATCAGCTTCAGGCTCAACACCTGGACACATACATGACAGACAGACAAGGGGAGAAGAATGCAACCTAAAGCTGCTTGGCTTGCTGTGCGGATAATGCTGCCGCTATGTTATTTACCGTTCTGCATCGGCTCCTCCTGGTCCTCATGCTCACTGCAGACAGCAGAGAGGACCACAACCACGAGAGCACCTTTCGGTCTGCGTGCGTGTGTGTTGCATGTTGTGTGTTGTGTTTTGTGCCTACCGCAGGTCCTCCAGTCCGGCGGGCATGAAGTCGCCCAGGTCTATGTCCTCCGCGCCCTTCATGTCCATCTCGTCGTCCAGCGGCTCCTCCTTGGCCGCACCGCCTGACGGGATGTAGCCCTCCAAACGACGCCTACATGAAACACACACACGCACAACAAAGACACACGGATACAGGGGGTGTGTAGGTGTGTGAGGTGATGTGATGTGATGTGGTCTGGTGGCCTGTGTGTACTTCTGTCCTGCGTTGATGCGTTTCAGGAGCCTCGTCAAACGCTTGCCCAAACCTGAACGGCAGGCACAGACGGACCGAAATATGAGCATGCGGGCAGTCGTGTCCATCGCCCCCCTGTGTGTCTCACTGATCTCCATCATGTGACGTGCTGACCGTGTATGTGTACGGGTATGGGTGGCATGAGGTCGGGGTCGATGGGGTAGGGCGGGTAGCTCCGGTCCAGGATGTCGTCACGGTTCTGTATCCAGTCCTCCGTCACGCTGCCCACGCACAGACGGACATCACACACACGAGGGGTGCAGAGCGAGCGTGTGCATGTGTGTGTGTGGTTTGCGCACGTACGCTTGGGTCAGCATCGTGGTGGAGTCGACTTTGGTGGGCTTGTGGCGGTCGACTTTGGTGGGCTTGTCGCGGCCGCCTCCCTTCTGCTTCTGCTTAGCCGCGCCGCCCTCAGCCACAACATCGCCGTCACTACACACACCACACACAGCACCAAGTGTTCTCTTCTCCCTCTCTCTCCCTCTGCCCATGATAGGGTGTGCTGTGCTGTGCGTACACTTCTTCATCCTGGTCTAGTCCCAGATCCTTCCAGAACTCGGGCTCGTTCTCGAGGGGCGGAGGCGAGTCGTCCAGACCACCATACATGTCCGCACCGTCGAGGTCGGGCGGCGCCATGTCCTGGAAGCCATCCTGGTTGGCCGACATGGGAGGCAGCTCGCCATCGCCTTCGCCGCGACCAGCAGGAGACTGAACACATGGGAAGCACACATGGGTTGACCGTGTGGTGTTCTTCGTGTGTGGTGTGGTGTGGTGTGGTGTGGTGTACCCTGCGATGTGCGGTGGATCCGGGAGGGGCCTCTGAGGGCGCGCCTTCCCCTACGTCGCCAAACACATCCGCATCCTGACACCGACACACACAAGAGAACACGGATCAGAGGATGGCCCATCGTTCTGGGTGAAGTCTTTGGCTGGCGTCACGTCACCTGCAGGTCCTGCGCGGCCGCAGCTGCAGCAGCCGCCTCGCCACGAGGACGCTCTATGTCTATGTCCATCTGTATGTACATATTGATAGACACACATGACCAATACGCAGTTCATTTGGTCTTCTCATCTGGCTTACGGCGTTGTCACCCTCCCCTCCGATGCCCTCCTGCCCTCCGCCTTCGCCGCTACCGCCACCACCACTCGCACCGTCGAGCACCTGACCAAAGCACCGAAGGGATCCATGCATGCTGCGTGTTGTGTTGCATTGTCCCATCTTGCCCACCCACCCACCGGTCCTGCATCGGGTGCTGGGGGTGATTCGCCCCCCTCTGGCTCTCCAGCAGGGGCGGCATCTGCGTCTGCATCCGCATGTGCGGCAGGCGCGGGCGAAGGTGTGCGGGGGGCGGGAGCAGCGTCCAGGTCTCCCAGTCCATCCAAGTCACCACCCATTCCGAACTCGAAACCACCAATGTCGTCAACACCCATACCACCATCCTCAAACTCATCTGAGCACCGCAAGGTAGGTAAAGCGGGGGGTCAGGTGCGTCCATGTCTGTGTGTGTGTGTGTGTGTGTGGTCCGGTCCTCACTCCTGGGCAGCATGTTCATGTCGTCTAGGCCGCCCAGCAAGTTGTCGTTGGCCTGGTCCGCCAGAGCGATGTTCGCACGCTGACCACCACTGAACCATCACCAACCACACAGACGAGAACACCGCATAACCACCACAGAACACACAGCGGGGGCATTGTGCGTGGTGGTGGTGTTGTGACTACCGTGTGGCCGGTGTGGGTAGATTGGGCTGGTCGGGCACGTCCTCGAACACGTCCTCGCCGTCGAAGGGCTGCGTAGGGCCACCCAAATCCGGACCACCAATCGCACTGACACGCACACCAGACAGACACAAGACATCCATCCATCAATCTTCCGCAGCGATGGTGTGTGCTCTGTCTGTTGCTGGCTGTGCGCACTCACCGCATCTCATCGTCTTGCTCTTGCTGTCGCGACGTGGCATCCTTACGGCCGCGCTTCTCGCCATCCTTGTCGCCGCGAGACTCGTATTGCTGACACACACCAAACACACACGATGGCCAAGAAACACCATGTGATGAGTGGAGAGGGCGGGTCAGATGACGCAGTCAGTCACCTACCTGGTTGAGCTTGTGGAGCATGTCGATGCACTCCTGAGAGGAGAGGAGGCAAATGCATAGATCCGCACAGACGCAGTCATCCTCCGCCTGTTTCCTCTCCCCCCTTCATTCGATTTGCCATTGTGAATGCGTACCGCTTCGTGGTAGACCGTTTTTGCGAGGAAGAGCCTGGATACGCCGATGAGTGCGCTGCTGGTGAGTCTGAGGCTGCTGGACACGCCGGAGGGGTCGCTGAGGAGCTCCTCGATGGCGAGTCCGATGTCGACATCCTGCACCTCGCGCTTCTTGAGCTTCTTGTCCGACTGGAACGCCGCCACCCACACCGGCGTCAGCGACTTGTTGCTCGTGAAGTTCAACGAGTTCATGACGGTCACTGACGCTGATGCGATGGCTGGCTATCAAAGAGGGGTGCAACCAACAAAGTGATGGAAAATGTCTGGCGCCCCTCGCTCAGCCCATCCTTTCGTGCGCGTCAGACGCGAGGGGAAAAGCGATCGTTTTGGCTCGGTTTGACGTTTCTGGCTCGCATTCTCCTCGCAAACGCCTCCATCCTTCCTCCTCGTGCCGTCAGCGCACGCCTGCCTTCCCTGTCATCTCATTTGTTGCAATGGATGCCAAGTTGATGGATGCTCCCATGGACGGCAGCAGCGCTGAGCCAACGTCAAGCCTCACCGCAGAGGACGCCCCATCGCTGTTCGCCAAGTTCAACGTGGAGGGCAAGCTTGGCGAAGGTTCGTACGGCTACGTCGTCAAGTGCTCGACCAAGGCCAGCACCAAGAAGAGCACCAAGAAGAAGAGCACCAACAAGCGGCTGGGAGATTGGCAGGGCAAGCAGGATTCCAAGGCGGTCAAGGTGCAGATCTTCCACCAAGACATCAGCAAGTACCAGGTGGGTGGGTGCAAGAACAAGCAAACAACGGATCCGACGACTCATTCATTCCATCGATCATCATGCTTTGTCTTTCGTCCTCAACAGCTGCGTGACGCTGCCATCTGTCGCTACCTGAGCGGCCATCCCAACCTCGTCAGCTTCGACAGCGTGTGGACGGGGGAGGGCATCTGTCGCGTGCAGTCGGAAATGTCAAGTGGGGTGGACTCGCATCTGTCGTGCGAAGGGCTGTGGCGTGCCGAACACTGCAAACACCTATACATGGCAATGGAGTGAGTAAGAACGCAGCCAGCCAGCCAGACAGACAAAGAACACAGGGACGCAAGAATGCGACTGGGACAGGCAGGGGGCTGTCTGTTGTTTGTATCTTTGTTTGTTTGTTTGTGTGCACAGGTTGGCTGAGACAGATCTGTACAAGCATCTGCACACAAAGAAGCTCAAGCGTATCGGTCGTCACGTGGTCACGGTCCCCGACAGACGCATCTGCCTCTCGCCCAAGGAAGTCAAGAGAATCATGTACCAGGTACGGAAGGACAGACCGGAAGGAGCCCGCCTTGTCCGTCTTGCGGAGTCTGTGTGTTGTCTGTCCTTCCTTCGTCGCTTGTGTCAGTTGCTGTTGGGTTTGGCGTACATGCAGACCAAGGGCATCATCCATCGGTCGCTCGTACACACAGGATGTGTGGGGAGCGACCATGACCTGTCTGTGTCTGGTTTGTGCAGCGACCTCAAGCCCGGCAACATTTTGATGTCGGGCAAACGTGTGATGATCACGGACTTCGGCCACTCTCGCCTCGTGACCGGCACACACGACCCCATCAGCCACTCGGTAGGCACATGAATGAGGAAAGACATGCACAACGAACACACACAGACGGACAAACGCGTGATTGATGCCCTTGTGTGCATGTGTGATGGGCAGAATCCATACTTCCTAGGCACGCCAGGCTATCGCTGCCCTGAGCTCATCCTCGGCGCCAAGAACTGTGAGCCAAATATGAGAGCAGGACACAACACAGTTCTTCGCCTGTGGACACGTCTCTTCTGTGTGTGTTGGGTATCAGACGGCACCAAGGTGGACATGTTCTCTGCTGGCACCATTTTGATGGAGATGGCTACAGCCCGGAAGCCATTCAGCCACCTGGGCAGCGACTACGGCTCCCTCATCATGATGTTTCAGCTGCTGGGCATGCCACCCCAGGACAGGGTCAAACAAATGGACTTCGTCGGGAAGGTGCGCACATACTCCCTCCCTGAGGTTCCCTCCCTCCCTCCCTCCCTCCCTAAATGACACACCACACCCGACCTCCCCTCTCCCCATACACCCTTTCTCTTTCTCCCTTTGCAGAGCCACGCGTTCCCGCGTCTGCTGCCCAAGACGAAGTCGCAGGTGCGCCAGGCCCTCGACGCACTATGTGACGGCAAGAACAAACTCACCGACGGCCAATTCAGTCTGCTCTACGAGTAAGCCAAGCCACCAGCACAAGGAGGGAAGGGGCAGGCGGAACACGCAAGTGTGGTCTCTTCTGTGTGCTGTGTGTCAGCCTGTGGCGCGTTGATCCAGCCGAGCGCATCTCTGCCATTGAGGCCATCAACCACCCCTACTTCGACGACCTCGACAAGACGGTGAGATGGATGAAGGGTCGGCATTTGATGCACTCACTGACTGACTCGTCGCCCATTTCCATATGTGCACACAAGAAGAGTGCCTTCTGCACCGCATCCTCATCCTGTCTCTCTGTCCCCCCGTCCCGTTTCCTTCATGTGCAGCGATACGCCCACTGGGCCCACGACCTCGGCGCCGCGTTCGATGAAGACGGCCACACCGCCTTCTCTGCAGCAGACGCAGACGACAGCACCAACCCCTCCACCGCCGCCCCGGGCCAGCAGCAGAATCAGTACAACCTGCGAGAGCGGCTGAAGCGGCCATCGCCGTACGACGGCACCGTCAAGTCCATGTTCAAGACACCACCAGCCAAGAAGAGGCGCACCACGCATTACGCCAACGCTCCCAGCCGCCCCAAGAGAGAATGAGAGGAGCAATGTGTCTGCATGTGATGACTTGCCCGTTAATACATGCAATTCATCGCACGTGAATGGATTCAGCCCCCCGTGAACTCAAATCTCTTGAGCTCGCTTCTCGATCGCAGCCAAGGAGCGCAATGCCATGTCTAAGGGCAGACCAGCGCCGTCCCGTTCATTCTCACGAAGAACGACGACATTCGTCGAACCTCATGCGCCAGCCGCAGAGGAGGGCCCTGTTCGTTCGTTCATCGCGCTGCCGACTGTCACACGAGAGCTCTCGCCTCTTCCCTCTTCGTCTGAGTCAGACGATATTTTCCTCTCGCCGCCAGGGAAGCGTACAAGACAGCGGAGAGGCCGCCCACAGCTGCTGACCCAGGAGAGGAGGTCAAGGAGGGATCATCGGACAGTGTTTCGCAGCCTGCGCGACGCCCGCATTTATGAGGGTGCGGCATGGCGTCTGGCGTTCGCCCTGTTGCCGCATTTCCATCGCTCGGCACGGTGTGCGTGGAGTGCACTGCCCTTTTGTAGCCCTCGCAAGAAGACAAGCCGGCACTGCAGGGAGCCCGACAGGGAGTCGCTGCCCTTCGTGCTGCTCGGTTTGGCGTTCAAGACTCTGCAGACGGCATGGGCTGACCTGAAGAGGGCTGGCGTTGCAGTGAGACCACATCTGGATAGGCGGCTGGAGGGTGGGATGGCAAAGGCGCCGCTGGTGCGGACACTTCGGCGGTTGGTGGAACGGACGGAGGGAGAGGTTTTTTGGGTGCTCGATGGCTGCGAGAAGACGCGATTGAAAGATCAGGTGAGGCGGCGGAGAGGGAAAGGTGCAGCACCTTGATCCATGGACACGTGCCTTGCCATTGTCTGCATGCAGGTATCTGTGCGTGACACACTTCTGAGTGAGGCTGCCGGTCGCTTTGCCGAGTGGACAGGGCGCTTTGGGCGGGTGGCTGGCTGTCTTCTCCTTCGCTCTGTGCTGCTCAAGGCCACTCTCAAGCTGCGCACTGGGGCCCTGACTATATTGATGAGGCACACGTGGGCTCAGCGTGGGAGCATCATTACGACGGCGCGGACGGACGAGCCCAAGAGCAGCAGGAGCCGGGGGCAGGGGCTGAGGGATCGCGCATTGCCCCTGGTTGAGGGGAGGGTGCCCATCCCTCAGTCGCCCGGTGATCTGCACCCGCGGCTTGCTAGCAGGATACTCTCTCAGCTCGGTCCTCGCAGGCAGACGGACACCGACGGGTAAGGACAACAGAGCAACACACTGGCGGGTGGTCGTACATGGTCCGCCTGCCCCATGTTGCTGCAGGTCTCCGGTGCACATCCGCCCCGTCCCTGGCCTCGACCCTGCCCCGTCATCTCCCCCAGATGTCCACACCGTGCCCAAGGTCCGCCCGTCATCCTCTTCGCCCCTCTCGCCACTTCCCGTCCCACCTGACGTGGGCATGCGGCTGAAGGTCTCTCCCCGCCTGACAACGCCCCCGCTGACCCTCGGCCCTCCCATGATGGAGGCGGAGAGGGAGTCGGCCAGGAGGGCGCTGAGGAGTGGCACATCGGGGTGGCCCAGCTGGGTGGCCACATCGGTCGGCAGGAAGGAGGAGGCTGTGGCGGTGAGTGGAAAAAGGGATAGAGGGGCTTGCTTGCTCACCACGACTGGAGCCACGAACGACGTGCAGACAGGTGGGACAGTGGACAACAGATTCGTCCGTCTGTGCAGCACGAAATTACTACCCCTTCTGTGTGCCTCTATCTTCAGGTTGTCATCAGCGACTTGGCCCATCGACGCAACGGTACGGCGACGATGTGCAGCAGCCTGTTGCCGGCGTGTCCATCGAGCCTCACCCAGCACGGTTTCTCCCAGAGCGTCTCTTGCAGAAAGGCCTCATCTACACCGACTCTCGGCCCCCATCACCATCACCACTGGTGTCCTCGCGCCTCCCAACGGCCCGCAAACCGCTCACAACATCTGTCCCCTTCTCCCCCAACCTGAGCGAGCCGCCATTGACTCTCAGGATGGTCAACAGACCGCTTGCCGCCAGTCCCGCCCCCAGTGAGCCTATGCGGCCGCTGTTCACATCGCTTCCCTTGTCTGTTGGCCGGCGACGTGTCGACGGTGCGTCGCCTAGGCGACTGGAGGACAAGGGTGTGTGGGGTGAGGGGTCGCCGTCGAGGGCTGGGCGGAGAGACGAGAGGGCAGAGCAGAGCTTGCGGATGAGCTGCTCGGTGAGGAGCGAGTTGTAGACATGATGATGATGATGTCAACTCATGAATGCATGTGTGCGTGCGCAGATGGTGAGTGAGGGTGGGAGTGGGGCTGGGTGACTCGATTGGATTGCACTGACTGGGACGGACGGATGACAGACACTATTGATTCAATCATTCCCTATCAGGCATCGAATCAGTGTGTAGTGTCGCCACCTAGTACGAGTCAGCTCTGATGCGAAAAATCCCTCTGTGTAAATCTCTCTCTCACTGGACGCCAATGGCACCGCTGCGTTTGCAGACTCAGAAGCGCATACATGCAATGCAATGTTGCATTGCATTGCAGGCATCACACCACCATCCATCCATCCATCCAATCAGTAAACAAGCAACAACTACTTTTATCTGACCACCACAAGGCAGCAACAACGACTCCGGGAGACAATATGAGAATTTTATCCCCCCGAAGTCCTCTCCAGCCCCGCCGCAGCGAGATAAAAGTGAATGTCACTCGAAAGCCGTTCCTTAGGGGTTGAAGTGGTGTCCGCAGGCAAGAGCTGTGGTGAGTATGCCGAACACGAAGAAGGGCTGCGCCGCTGCCTGGTACTGCACGTCAAACTTGACAGGATCCTTCAGCAGATACCTGACACCACACCACACCACACACACTTGTCCAAAACATCTCACGGCTGGCTGCCACGTCAGGTCAGCTCACTTGGCCTGGAGGAATATCTGCGGGATGGTGAGCCCCGCGAGAATGGCGGCGTACAGAGGCTCGTCTAGCGAGTAGACGTATGCGGCCACGCCGAGTTGCGTGAGATCGATGGAGAGGGCGGCGATCCACTTGGCCCTGTCGATGCCGAACTGAACGGGCAGCGACTTGAGGCCCAGCTCCCTGTCGCCCTCGACCGACTTGAAGTCGTTGACCGTCGCTATACCCACACCGCCGATGCTGATACATACGTATGGGACAGACAGACATGGTTAAGTGTGTTTGTGTTGGCTCGTGCTGTGTCTTGTCCACCCCACCTGTACAGGAGTGTGAGGATAATGACGGTCGGGTTGAGCTCACCAAACATGGCCTGTCCGCACCACCATGGAAGCGATATGTAGCTGGACCCCAGGGCGTAGTTGCCGATCCAACCACTCTGCTTCAACCTGATCCAGATCAACACAACACAACACAACCACACGGATATCGGTGGATTGATGCACATGCAACCAGCCGTCACGTCATGTGGAGGAGTGGAGTGCCTCAAGTACTTGAGTGGTGGTGCCGAGTAGATGTACGACACGACCGAGCCGAAGATGGCCAGCAGGAGGATGTTGGGCGTGTCGTGGCCCGCCCACAGGTCAAGGCCGTACGCCACCGCCAGGCCGGCGATCAGCAGACCCCATATCTGACCCTTCACCTGCACACACACAAGATCCCCACACAACCTGCCATCGGGCCTCTTCGTTCTGTTGTCCGCCTGAACGCACCTACCTGTCCCTCTGAGATGGCTCCTGATGGAATTGGCCGGTAGGGCTCGTTGATGGCGTCAATCTCGCGGTCATACCAATCGTTCATCGTCTGCGTGAAACCTGCATCGCATCCACCAAATCACATCAAGTCAAGAAGGAGCGAATGAGAATAGCACTTGGCTCATGTGTTTGAGCGCACCGACCGGTGAGGAGTGGTCCTGCGAGGACCATGCAGGCGAGTGACTTGAGGAGGTCCTCGCCAGCCTCGGACAGACTCACAGCCTCGGGATTCAACGGATTCCACCTGACAGACAGACAGACACACGGAGGCGCCTGCCTGCCTGCCAGGATGTACGTCCTGTTGTGCTGTAGGTGTGTGCATGCGTACGTGTGGTAGTTGCCTGATGCGGCCGCGCCACAGATGACTCCCCATATGAGAGGGATCCATGTCACTGGCTTCATCAGCTGCAGCCTGGCAGTGTGTGTAGTACCATCCGCCACCAGACAGACAAGCCATCTTGCTGATGCGACGCGAGCACACGTGCTGTGCTGTGCTGTCCGTTCCTTCCTACCTACCTGATCTTCCATATGTCGGTGGTCTCGGCAGCACCACGCACCCCGAGCAGCTGACGCACCGATTTCTGAACGGCGTTGAAAGCAACGGACAGACACACAAAACGAATGCATCACACATATTCGCCCATCGTGTGTGTTATTGCTCACATCATTGCTCTTGACTTCATCCTTGGCTTCCTTCATCGCCACTCCACCGCCTCCCGGAGATCTCTGCAAAGATGGTGCTCCATGAGATGGTGCCGGCCTCAGCACGCTGCTCAGCGGAACAACTCTGGGCGGCACAAAGGCGCCCTCCCTCGGCCTCGCATTTGCTGCAGTGGCTTCCAAAGCCGAGATCAGAAAGGAAAGGCCGGCAAGGGCGAGGAACGATGGAAGAGCCGCCCACATGGTATGGTGCAGCGTAGCAAGGAGGGGGAGGGGAATGCAGCGCCTTTGAGGGAGATCCGGTCCAGATTCGCATCAAAGCTCGCGGATCGCCAACTCGAGCTAAGAAAAATGGCGACAAAAGCTGCATAGCCGCTCACGCTGGCCTGATTCGGCTGTCCTGAGTGTGAGTTCTGATGGCCGCGATAATCGGTCATCCATTTCGGTGACTGGCGTTCGACCTGCTGCGCTGCTTGCTTCTGAGTAGCTGAGGAGAGGAGACGATGAGCGGCGCCACACACCAGCACCCGGCGGCAGGGGCCACGACTGAGAAGGAGTGCCAGACGGGCAAGAAGGACCCCGTGCTGGGCGCGTACTTGCAGAAGGCCAACTTCCTGACCTCGCGGCACCGGCTGACGGAGGCCCTGGAGGTGTACGAGCAGGCCATCCGCAAGTTCCCGCACAACTCGGACCTCTGGAACTGTAAGGGAGTCTGCCTCAAGTCACTCGCCAAGAACGATGGTATGTATACATGTGTGGATGGATGGGCACTGCACACACGGGCAAGGCAAGAGGGACTGCGGTTGGTTATGTTTATTGGTGTGTGTATTTATTGGCTGGCGTGTGTGTTGTGTGTGCACTGCAGAGGCCTTCACGTGTTACGAGAAGGCCCTCGAGCTGGACCCGTACAATGCGGGGGCGTGCAATAACAAAGGTGGGTGAGGCAGGCAAGGAAGGACGGACGCTTGGACGACTGACTGACTGCCACTTGATGGGTTCGTTGGCGTCAGGTGTCATTCACAAGGAGAAGGAAGACTACGAGAAGGCGGTGAGTAGCGAGAGAGACGGAAACAAACACGCCGAAGACAAGACGTCCCTCGAACATACATAGCGTGTCTGTCTGTCATTGGGACACCATGTGTATATATCCCTCAGATCCAGTGCTACATTGTGGCCCTGCAGCTGGAGCCCAACTACACAAGTGAGTTAAAAGAGTGACCGACCGACCGTAGGGAGGGAGGGAACAGTAGCTAGCGCACAGCAGGCATGGCGACAGACATCTCATGCTATCTATCGCTGCCTACCTATGCCGATACGTGCATCACGTGTGGTGTGCAGCTGCTGTGCACAACTTGGCGATAGCGCTGACTGACCTGGGCACCAAGCGGAAAGGGGAGGGCCGGACAGAAGAAGGTCAGCCGAGCCGACCTACTCACTCACCTCACCCACGAAACCCCACTAGTCTGTATGTCTGTCTGTCTGTTCTGATTTTACTATGCCATCCGCTCGTCGGTCCCCCAGCGCTGGAGCGTTACCATCAGGCGATTCGCACGGGTGCGTCGTACTCTCCGGCGTACTACAACTTGGGAGTCATGTACAGCGAGTTGGGCGACTACCAGAGGGGGATGGAGATGTACCAGGAGGCCGTGAGGCTCAACCCCAGATACGTCGAGGCCTACAACAACATGGGCGCCATCTGCAAGAACCAGGGACATGTACGTGACGTGATACGCACACACACGGGGAGGGACGTCTCTGTGTGTGTGTGTGTGTGTGGATCAGTTGTACCAGGCGATAGCCTTTTACGAGAAGGCGCTGAGCATCAACCCCAACTTCCAGATGTCTAAAGGTCAGTCAGGAGGCCTGCAGTGGGGAGGAAACGCCAAGCTTGCAGAGACCCTCCCCATTCATTTGCTTCCTCGCTGCCTGCGCGTGTGTTTCACTTGACAGGGAACTTGGCGGTAGCGTTGACGGATTTGGGAACGCACGTCAAGATGCAGGGCGACCTAAAGGTGCCGTGCGTGTCTGTCTGTCGCCTCGCCACACACACGTGACGTGTGTGGCCTTGAACTGCACTGCCTGCCTGATGTTTCTATATCTCTCTCTGTGTTGTATGTGTGTGTGGCTCTGCTCTGCTCTGTGTGTGTCTGTCTGCTTGCTTGGTTGTGTCAGGGCGGCATCAAGCTGTACAAGCGGGCTTTGGTGTTCAACCCCCACTATGCTGACGCCTACTACAACCTGGGTAGGCCATTCAGGACACTACATGTAGCAGTAGCAGCGGCAAACGACAGGACCGTCACACATGGATGTGTGTGGTGTGTTGGCTGCTCTGTTTAGGTGTTGCGTATGGTGAGCAGTGCAAGTATGACAAGGCCATAGTGCACTACGAGTTGGCCGTGCACTTCAACCCCCGATGCGCTGAGGCCTTCAACAACCTGGGGGTCATCTACAAGGTCAGCCAGCAACAAACACACGTGCAGACGGACAGCCACCGTCTGTGTGTTGTGTGTGATGTGCACTGCAGGACAAGGAGAACCTTGACAAGGCCATCTACTACTACAACAAGGTCCTGGAGATCAACCCCAGCTTCGCGCAGACACTCAACAACATCGGCGTCATCTACACCGTCATCGGAAAGGCAAGCCAAGCCCCCCTCAAGCCCCCCGCCACACACACACACACACACACCCATGGCTGTGTCATGTCATCTATCTAACCCAGATGACCGAGGCATACGAGTACACGCGTCGAGCGATCGACGTGAATCCCAACTACGCCGAGGCCTACAACAACCTGGGTGTGCTCTACCGGGACCAGGGCGACGTCGAGCTCGCCGTGCAGGCCTACGAGAAGTGCATCTCTATCGACCCCAACTCCAAGAACGCACTGCAGAATAGGTGCGTGCGCTACGTCGGTCGGTGTGTCGGATGGATGTGATTGATACAGGCGTGGACGGTGGACGGGGTGTGTGTTGTGTTGTGTTGTGTGCTTGGCTTGGCTCGTGTCGGTCGGTCAGGTTGCTGGCGTTGAACTATTTGGCGTCGGTGAGTGTCCAGGACATCTTTGAGGCGCACAGGCAGTGGGGCATGCAGTTCACCAGCATGAACGTCAACATCGGTAGGCACCCCACCCCTCCCACCCCTCCCAACACACACACACACACACCCCACACACAGCCTTCCATGTGGGCGTGTGCACACACACACACTTACACGTTAGGTGGTTCGTTGCAAGTGCGCCGGCCGTTCACGTCGTGGAAGGTGTCGTCGTCTGCCGACCGCGTGTTGCGTGTGGGGTACATCAGCCCCGACTTGTTCACCCACAGCGTCAGCTACTTCATCCACGCACCCCTCAAGCACCACGACCCCGCCAAAGTTCAGGTGTACGTCTACGCCAACGTCGTCAAGGAGGACGACAAGACACAGGTGAGTCAGGAACGAGCGGATGGGCAGACAGAGAGGGGGACAGAGACGGAGAGGGTGGTTGATGGAATGGATACGACGATTGGTTCCGTGTCTTATGTGTGTGTCATGATGTGTGTGTGTGTGTGTGTGTGTGTGTAGATGTTCAAGCAGCTGGTGCCTGTGTGGCGGACGATCATGGGTATGGGCGAGTATGACGTGGCGAAGCTCATTTACGAGGACCAGATTGACATCCTGGTCGAGCTCACGGGACACACGGCCAACAACCGCCTCGACGTCATGGCATGGAAGCCCGCGCCAGTGCAGGTGGGCACACCCACCACTCAGCCAGCCACATGGTCTCTCTCTCTCTCCCTCTGTGTGGGTGTGGGTCTGTGTGGATCGATCGTTCGATGGGTCAGATCACCTGGATAGGCTACCCCAACACCACTGGTCTGCCCAGCATCGACTATCGCATCACCGACTCCATCGTCGACCCCCCCTCCACCAACCAGCCCTACGTCGAGCAGCTGCTGCGGCTACCCAAGTGCTTCCTCTGCTACACCCCCGCGCACGACGCGCCAGAGGTCTCGCCGTCGCCCTGCCTGCAGAATGGATTCATCACCTTCGGCAGCTTCAATAACCTCGCCAAGATCGGCCCACAGGTAAGGAATATACGAGCCAGTTCATTCATCAAGACAGCGGCATGGAAAGGCCTTTCGTTGCGTGTCATTTAATGGTTTCATTGTGGCAGGTTGTGCGTCTGTGGAGTCGCGTGTTGAAGGCTGTGCCGAGCAGCCGTTTGTTTGTCAAGGCCAAGCCATTCGCCAACAGCCATATCCAGAAGAAGTTCATGGCGCTCTTCGAGGCGGAGGGCATCAGCGCCGATCGCATCGACCTCATGTGTCTCCTGCCCATGTGTGCCGAACACCTAAGGGTCAGTCACAGTGAATGACACCTATACCTACCTACACCACGCACACAGAAAGAAAGGGAGACACCCGTGTTGTGTTTGTCTCCACCCACCAGGCGTATTCGTTGATGGACATAGCGCTAGACACCTTCCCCTACGCCGGCACGACCACCACGTGCGAGTCGCTGTTTATGGGCGTCCCGGTGGTGACTTTGCGGGGCCAGTCCAACCACGCGCACAACGTCGGCGTCACACTGCTGACCAACATCGGCCTCTCGGACCTCGTCTGTGAGAGCGAGGAGGACTTTGTGAGGGTGGCCGTGCAGGTAAACTGCTGGACGGGCAATGCATGCATACCTCCATCACTCAAAGGAACCTCTCTCTCTCTCTCTCTGTGTGTGTGTGTGTGTGTGTGTAGATGGCGTCCGACGTGGGTCGTCTGTGCAGCTTGCGCGAATCGATGCGCAATCGCATGCTCAGCTCGACGCTGTGCCACGGGGTGTCGTTTACCAAGAACCTTGAGCATCTCTACAGACAAGTCTTTACGCGCTACACAAGACACGGCCCCATCTCACGCCCAACGCCCTCAATCGCTTCCACGTCGACAAACAACGACCAGTCGTCGGTGTCGGGGTTCGCCAACTCACAACAGCAGAACGGAGGAAACGGATCGCAGCCGCAGCACAACGCACCGTAAGCCAAGCCGATGGGAGGGAGGAGTGGACAGATAGCGCATGGAGACAGAGCTCTAAAGCACTGCATCTATTCTCTGTCCACTGTTTGTGTGTGGTTCTTGTGTCAGCAACCCGCTGCTGCCGCCACTGCCCCCGTTTGGCGGTGTCAAGCAGCAGCAGCCTGTCCCGGTGGCCATCCCGTTGCTCATGCCCAACGGTAGCCCACCACCAGCACCCGCCCCCGTGCCCACGCCCTTCCCGCCGCTGCACCCACCGCTGCCGCCCGGCCTCGGCGTCCCCATGCCGTCACATCCACCACTGCCAATGGTGAGAGAGAGAGAGAGGGACAGACAGACAGAAAGGTCGCTCGCACAGGCAACAAGCCGTCATTTCATTCTGGTGCAGAGTTTCCACTCTCCTCCTACGGCGGAGGCCCCGGCGGACTCGACCATGATGATGTTTGACGATCATCACAATCCTGTCAGCGGAACAGCAGGGGGAGGAGGTGGCACCATGGACGGTGTGGGCGGCAGCAAGCCGGCGCCCTCGAGCCCCGGCAGCCCCATCAAGAAGGTGCCCAAGACGAGCAGAAGGTCGCCGCCGGGGAGCAAGACGAGCGGTGGCCATCCACGGCCCAACGTGCCGTCGCCGGCCGGGCAGCGGGTCGTCTGGAGGAGCAGCGGTGGCATCGCCGCCGGATCCCCACCAGGGCCTGCGGTGGCTCTCAGACCGGGGGTACGTGACTGACGTGGATGGATGGATGGATGGATCACAACTCTCTCTTGTCTTGTCTTGTCTGGCTGTTGTTGTCCAGGCCGTTCCCCCCGTGCTGCCACCGCAGCCAGGCGTCCCCGCATCCCCAGGGCTAGGTGTGCCCGTCCCCTTCCCGCCGCCATTAGCGCCGTCTCTCGCTCTCGCCTCACCGCCGCTGCAGGACCCCCTCGCACCACCAGACATCTCAGAGTCGCCAGGGGACCACCCAGACCTCCCGAACGGCACAGCACATGATGCGAGATACCTCTGTGCGAATGGTGTGGTGCCGGGCTTCCAGCCAGGGGGACGGCCGAATGGTCTCAATGGTTTGCACCCCCACAATGGGGCGCCCGTCCCTCCGCTGCCGAGCAACCCTTTTGCAGCAGCGTTGCCGGTGGCACTGCTGCCAGGAGGGGCGGCTCCACCCCTGATGGGCTTCGCTGCCCAGGCTGCGCCACCACTGACCTATGGCCAGCAGAACGCACCACAAAACGGTGAGGAGGGAGGGGGGAGGGACTCAGTGGGTGGGAGGGTATCGACATGTGGTGCTTTGTGTGTGTGTGTGTGGATGGGATGAATGCGATGCGTTTAGGTCCGATTGTTGTCGATTTGACGGATGGTGCTGAGGGCGAGGCGGCAGAAGCGGATGTCCCCGCGAGGCGCAACAAGGCCTCTAGGAGGGAACAAGCACATCAGCAGCATCAACAGCAGCACCCATCGCCCCGCAGGCACACGAACGACAACCCCACCGGTGGCCCCGGACCGGTCGATCGCAGGAAAGACGATCCCACTGCTGCCGCAGCAGTACCATCATCCGACCAACCAAGACACCAGCAGCAGCAGCAGCAGCCGCCAGCTGAGAGCGATGCCCCAGCAGCTGCAGCTGCATCGGCGGCGGCGGCGGCTGCCAATGAGGATGACCACCACGCTTCGTCATCATCAGGCCATCGGTCGCCTCACCAGCGCGGCAACAGCCAAGAGGGCGTGGACTCCTCAGAGGGCGGGAGATCGTCAGAGGCGAGTGAGCAGGCCGACGACGATGCGACAGAGGAATCAAGGGGTGAGGACAAGGGGCCGCAGGTCCCACATGACAAGAGGGATGGGGCTGGGGCTGCTGAGGTGAGGCGAGACGGGGGCGGGGGATGCCACGAGGAAGGGCTGAATAGAAACCCACAGGACGCCAACCAGAACATGAGGCTGCTCGCCGTGTAGGCAGGCAGGCAGGCAGGCACCATTGTGTGGGTCATTGCACTCATTGGGTAGTTAGCCGCGCTCACTTGATGAATGGATGGATGGATGGATGGATGGACGGACGAATGGATGGATGGAAGGACGGTTGGGTGAGGGGAACACACGCGTTGGGGGAAAGGTAGGGAGGCGGGTAGGGAGGGGGTGAGGGGACCCTGACTGACTTCATTGTTTGGTGAGTCAGTCAGTCGATGTGACCACATGATGTACGTATGTATGTTGGCTCGCTATCTGGCTGCTGTTTTGCCAGGCGAGGCCAGGCGAGGGGGGGTGGGACAGATGGGATGGGTCGATGATGAATGAATGAATGGATGGATACATGGATTCATGGATCCATTCGTTCATTATCACACGCTGTTCTTCTCTTGCAGCAGACAGCGTATTTTTATCCTCACCTACACACCGTACACGTGTCGTGTCCGTCCCATCCATGGCTGCCCTTTTGCCCGCACAGCCTGTGTCTGCCTGCCTGCCTGCCTGTTTGCATGCCATGTGCTGCGTGTGTTGTTTCTCCTCCTTCTCTGGTGTGGTGTACATGTAGACTACCGTACCGTCCCCTAGTCTCCTTCGTCTCATCCGTTGGGTTGGTTAACACACACTGTGACACACAGACAGACAGACGGACAGACCGACGGACGGGGCGAGGGTGGGGTGGGTGAGTGGTGAGTGAGTTTCCTAACATCGACCTACCTACTGCAGCACATGGGTGGATGGATGGACAATGCTGAATGTGGTTCATGTGTGAGAGATCCGATCCGCACACCGTCAGGTCAGTCAGACTCCTGATGGTCCACACTGACTGACTGACCCACGTGTTGTGTAACACTCATGTCAATGTTCCAAACACCGATCTGACAACCCTCTGCCGTAATCATTGACATTTGCACAGCATTCGCTCGCGCGTCCAACGAGCCAAGGAGACATCCAATCGTGTGCGGCCCGATGTCCTCGCATGGATGGACGCATGCGTCAACGCATCTCATTTAATTATGGATGTAATTGTGTGAGGGCGTCTCTAAGAAAGCATCAAATGGCCAGCAGGAGGTTCATTCAGCCATCCATCCATCCATCCATCCAAACAGACCACGCAACCACGAGTCTGTCTTTGAATCAACCAGTCTGAACCTACTCTAACCAGCAAACAACGGTTCAGCCACCCACCGTCGGTGCACAGGGCCTCAACGACTGTTGGGGGAGGGCCTCCTAGTGGATGCCCACTGGGTCCCCGAATGACCAAAGAATTCGCCCGCCCTCCCGCCACCTTGAAGACCTGCCTGCCCTGCCTGTGCTACTGTGTACCTTAAACTGCCGACCTACTACTAACTACTTAAATCCCTCCCTAATACGAAAAAACCTTTGCTACAGGACCTTCTCTCTGAGTCACATCCATCCACCCGTCCATCCATCCATCCATCAATCAATCGTCATATGCGACCTGCTTCCACCAGAAGCGGACGAACGGCAGTGCGATCAACGTGGGCAAGGCGAATTGGACGAATACCGTGAGTCCGTCCACCTCACCACCCCCCATACTCGAATTCGCTACTTCAAAAAGAGTCTCGAAGTAGCCGCACAGCAGAGAGCCGACGATGATGCCCAGATTGATGCAAGTGCTATCCCGCACACTCAGATCCCGCAGCCTAAGCGGTTTCTGTTCTTCTCCTGCCGCCGGTTTCGTCCAGCTGTTCTCGAGCACTCGTACATCCGACGGCAGGTCACCTGATTGATCAATGAATGACACACACATGTCCCAAAAAACCGACCAACATTTATGTGTGCATCCGCCCATCGCTTACGATCTCTGGGTATGGTGGTGGCTTCTGGGATCTTGTTCCACCAGTACACGATGATGGGCCCCAGCACCACTGTGGCCAGGGCAAGCTGAGAGAGCACGGCAACCTGGGCGCTGAACAACTTGGACGCGATCTCAGGGCCGCCCAGACTGCACACACACATACACACAGATGCAGATAAGGCGATTGATGTACCATCCGTTCTCGTCTGATACCTGGTGTCAACGTAGAGGTACTCGTGCACTTTGTCCTTCGTGACGACGTACAACCAAGCGATGAGGATGCCGAGCATCGAGCCAATGTTGGCACAGGCGATGTCCCGTTGGCTGAGATGCCTGAAGAGATTGAATCTTCCAGCGCTCAGGGCGGTCAGCGACCTCCCTCCGGCTGATCTCGGTGTGGGCTGCGGGTGGTGTGCCACTCGGATGGGCCCTGTGTCAGCCGGATGGGCCGGACGAAGGCCGCAGAGGACGGCAGCGGCGACAGGGCGACGGACAGAAGAATCAGCACAATGGGCAGCCTGCAGACAAGGCAGACAGTGCGGCCAATCCCGTCTGTATCCATTTGTGTGTGTGACAGTCGATCTGTCCAGCTCCTTGATCAGCGGGCCTCTGAGAAAAGGCACACAGGTGCTCAGGGGTCGTAGAAGCCAAGGGATGCTACACTACCAACTTCCACTCGCGAAGATGAAATTTACGCATCTCCGTCCCCTCCCGCTGCCATGAGCCGTTCGCGGGGCCGTCCAGTAGAGTTTGATGAGGAGGAGAACATCCTCTTTGGCGACGGTGAAGATGACCCGCCTGCAGAGGATGACCAATTCATGGAGGACCAGGACGTGCCCATGGACCAGGGCGACGATGTATATGCTGCCGACCATCAGATGGGCGATGCTGAGGCGGCGGCGGCGGCGGCCGAGACCGCCGACGAGCGGCTCATCCGTGAGGAGAAGGAGGAGCGGGAGAGGGAGGAGCAGCTCGCCAAGATGCAGAGGGAGGCCGACCTCGCCCGCATCAAGAAACGCCCCGACCTGGTGGATCTGCTGCGGAGCGAGAGGGGCTTCAAGTCCCTCTACGATCACGCCAAATCGCCGGCCTTCCAATCGCAGCTGCGGCACGAGAAGCCCCGGTCGGGGCAGCCAAAGGGCCTCAACGAGCAGCACAACCTGGACGTGTTCCTCTCGACCGTGCAGACGTGGATGCAGCAGCTATACCCCTTCCCCCTCCACCCAGACGACCTCGCCAAGAAGCTCGAGCGCCTGTCACGCGGCAGCTTCAAAGGCAACCCCCTCCGCGACCACATCATGCACCTCAGGGCGCACCACAAGTTCCCCGACTGCCCCATCCCATTCACCAAGACACACCTGACCCTCCAGCAGGCCATCGAGCGCCTCAACCTCGGCGATGGCGGCGCCAAGAGGGAGGCGGAGGACACCAAGATGCATGATGCCGCTGCTGACTACCCGGACCCCCATGACGACGGGGTGTTCGGAGGTCATCATGACGATGACGACGACCATTTCGTCCCTGACGAGCTCCTCTTCGGCAGTGGTGGTGGTGACGCCGGCCCCTCTCGGCATTCCCCGCCGCCCCCTGCAGCAGCTGGAGCAGCAACAGCACCGATGGACGAGGCGACCAAGGCCCGCATCGCAGCTGCCAAGGAGCGTGCCCTGGAGAAGAAGCGCAAGAAAGAGGAGGAGCGCAAGAGGCAGGAACAGGCGGACCATCAGGGAAGGCAGGAGGGGGGCGGGGGTGAGGGGGCCGGCGATAGAGACGTAGCCATGGAAAGGGATGGTGGGGGTGAGGATAGGGGTGGTGTGCCTCAGTTGTCGCCTGAAGAGCTGGCTGCCAGATTGGAGCGGAATAGGAAGGCTGCAGAGGAGAGGAAACGGTACGTCTGACGCATGAATCCACGGATACAATGAGTACAATGCAGGCGTTCAGTTGCGTGTTTCTGTACCTGTGTGTGTATTGCAGGTTGAAGCAGCTGCAACGGCAGCAGGAACAAGCCGACAAGGCGAATCCCAACTGATGGCTCCATACCTACCTAGACAGACGTGCCCAGATAGAGCCAGAGGAGACATCCGTAGATGGGCAGACAGACAGACACATTCACGCGGAAGTAAGTGGTTTGGTTTGAATTAATCAATGAATGAACATGCTGCATTCATTCGTACAAATGTCGATCAACGTGTGTACGCATCCGACAACAGCCATCGGCCTTTGCGAATGTTCGGAGGCAAAAAACGATACAGACACACGACCCGCTCCCCCGCACGCACAACGGCCCCGCCCGACGAGTGGCCAGCTCAGCTCCACTACGTGTTCCTGTCGGTAGTCCTGTGTACGAAACAGCACCCACACGTTACCTCCCTCACTGTCATATCCCCATTCCCTCCAGCCCTCCTGCCGCTCTCCTGGACATCACAGCCCCGCGGGCACCCTCCACGCGGCCCTGTGTCGATATGTATGTCTGGCGGCCGCTCGGGCCCCCCATGACCGGCCCTGCCCTGCGGCAGTGGAGATGCACTTGTGTCTCTGCTGCTGCAGTGTGTCTCGAACACCGGCACACTCCTCCTGTGCGGCTGGTCGCTGACGGGAGAGTCGCTGGGTATCGACCGCTGGTGCGTTGGCATGGACCTGACCATTCTTGTCACTGCCGGTCTTCCGGTCATCTGGTCCCTCTCAGCAAACTCCTGTGTCGAATCCGCACTCATCTGGAGGTCGTCATCCGTATCTCCCCTGCTGGCTGGCGGATGGGGGTGTTGGCCGGAGTAGCCCCTCGGTGAAGTGATTGGGGTTTGTTCCGCCATGTCGATGTAGTTGTCGATGCCCTCCCTCACAAAGGCGGGCGATGCCAACACGTCGACGGCCTTGTGTTCAGGGGAGGAAGGGGAAGCCGCGCGCAGGGCGGGGATGTCTCCCACGGCCTTCTCGCCATTTGCGCGATTGTAATTCTCGAGCGCTCTTTTTTGCGCCATGGCCAGTTCGATCAGCTTCCGAAACTTCTTTCGTTTCCGCGCACCCTGTCCCGAACGGAAAGATACAGAGACACAAGTCGGTTTCTCTTGTGATCGGTTCGTGTGCGTGCAGGTGTACCTTCCAGAGAGCCTGAACCTTGAGTGCGGCCGCCACTTGTGCAGCAGAGTACATAGTGTATTTCTTCTCGTCTGGCTTCCGTTGGGGGAACGGCAGCACCCGCGTGATGTTCTTGTTGATGAGGCGGAGAGCCTCGCAGTCGGCCACCTGCCGCATGTCAGCCCCGCTGACACATGACGCGAGGCTCCACAGCACCTCCATGAAGTGCACACGCCCGCCGTGGTCCTTGACGCCCAGGTTGGCGATGATCTGAAGGAGGGTGCCTCTGCAGACAGACAGAGGACAAGACATTGCTATGGAAGGATAGTGCAGGTGTGTCTGTGTAAGTGTGCTGCTGACGCGGCGAAGACCTCCCCCTTGAATCCCAGTGGAGGCTCCAGTTCGGCCAGCAGCAAGGGCAGCTGACCAGGAGCGGAGAGACACACACGTTCGTCCAGACTCTTGTTCTCGCCATTCATTCATATGTGTGTACGCACCTTATGCGTTGGCAGCCAGACCTCTGCGTTCGGACAAAGTCGAGCCCATGCGCTGATGTAGCGGTCCATGTCCATCTCAGACAGCAAACGGAAATTGAGCCGCTGCACAGAAAGGGAAAATGCATATCTGACCATTGGCAGCCTTGCTTTGTAGTTACGTCATCTGCGATGTCTGAGAAGTTTTCGAGGATGACGGCGATGAAGAGATTGATGAACATGAAGGACCCCAACTGACACGTGACGGCAGAGCCCGTCTGTCTTTTTGTTTGCTGGTTCCTTCCTTCATATGTTATGTGCACGACGCGACCTACCAGCGTGAATGAGCTGAAGTAGATGATGGCAAAAGTGGTGCTGCCACAGTCCTGCGTATATCATCAATACATCAATCAATCCAGTCTGTCTCGCCTGTCCACAGCTGAGCTGTGTATGTGGAGTACCGACCGCTTTGCCGTCAAAGGCATTGCAGTCCTTGCGGGTGAAACAATCATGCATCAGGTCATTCCTGCATCACAACACAACAAGTGAAGTGAGCACATTCACCCGGCGCTCGGCATTCAAAGCCCTTTTGTGTCATTCATGCGCACCATGCCTCCCCAGTGGCCATTCTGAAGAGTGTCATCATGGCGTAGTAAAAGGTGCTGAAGTTGGCGTCTTCATTTAGCTCCTTGTTGCCCTCTTGCGGCAGCTAGACACAATCAATGAATGACACACAGGCAAGCCGATCGTGAGTAAGTCCGGCATATCATTCAATTGGCTGCGTACCTACCCGTCCGAACAAGGCCATCCCAGCCACCGCATAGACATAGAACAGTAGCAGCAGTAGAGCACTGAGCAGAGACACAGCGAATGGGCGGGACGTCCAACGGCTGTTGTGTCTCGTTGAAGACCTTACCCCACATTGACGAGCGACGGAAGCGATGACAACAGCGTCTGAAACAAATTGCGAAGCTGCCGCAGCGACTGAAGCCAAATGAACAAATGCATAAGTGGTGCGAATATTCCGATCAGTAGTCTGACCTTGATGAGTCTGAAGAGCCGTGCGATCCTGAGGATGCGGAGAATCGTCGTGTCGAAACCCAGCTCGACTGCAGCAGACACACGAAAGTCGATGATGTTGACACGACATACGGGCGCACGCCATGGCAGCTGCACTACCAGCGTTAGATTCCTTGATGATGATGCCCAACATTGGCAGCATGACGGTCGCGAAATCAAACACGTTCCAGGGGTCCTGATAGACCGTGTGCACGAATCTGCTGTTGGTGTGCACATTTCTGAACAAACCTGGAAGTATATTCTCGGTTTGAATGCGATGATTTTCATCAGAACTTCACACCCGAACACAGCCAAGAAACAATTGTTGGCCTGGAAAAGGCACAAACGGCAGATGGGTGGACCGAATTGCCTGTCTCTGTCTGCGCGCACAATATTTTGGAAGTCGCTTAGCGCCTTTGGGGCTTCCCAGAATCCGATAGCCAGCACCTGGACGCAAAGACAACACGGTCATTCCATTGCAGGTCTCCTATCATATAGTGCTGCTTACGATAGCATTGAGTATGATGCACACGAGCACCGCGATCTCAAACTCAGGCCGAGACACCCAGTGGAGAAGAAAACGACGCAGACCGCTCTTCTGCAAAATCGATTGAACCGAAAGCACTGCACTGCACGCCTACTTGGCTCTTTGTGTATGTATCGTCTCACTCACAGGTCGCCTGAGGAGCACTTTGGGACGGATTTTGATGAGCATGCGTTGAGTCTGGACCCACTCCAGCTGCTTTGGGCTGAGGAAGGACAGGCCATTCATCTCGTTGCGGATGTCGGAGAATTTGTCGATGACAATGCCGACGAAGAGGTTGAGGATGAAGAACGACATGACAAATATGAAGATCATGAAGTACACGACGGCAGTGGGGCTGGCATCATATTCCAGTGCCCTGCACACACACATACATTCATAGTCACATGGGCGAGCTATTCTTTAGCATTTGCGCTGCAGGTGTCATCCTCACTTTCTCGGCGCTTTTGTGTCAGTGCACAGGAACATGATGTCGGGCCACTGCTCCATTGTCGACATCTGATGAGATCGACAACGAGAACTTCTTTCTTGTCTCATGCGTCAATTCAGTCAGAGGACAGACCTCAAACAGTGTGAGCATGGCGAGGAAAACGTTGTCGAACGAGTGATCGAGCCGCTCCCACTCCCTCTCTCTCGTCACGATGTCTCCCGTCGGGCCTTCCCTCACTTGAAACTCGCCCACACACTCATCGGCCGTCTTGATGGTCGGATCGCTGCACTGGTACAGCTTGCCCTTATCACATGAGAGGGAAAAGGAGGAGCAGATACCGAGGAAGAGACGGTCGCCTTTGTCTACCTTGAAGAACTGGACGCCCAGGATGCCGAATATGAATAGGAAGAGCATCGACACGATCAGCACGTCAGCTATGGCGGGAATCGCACGTAAGATAGAGTTGACGGCCGCCTGAACAGACAGACAACGAGAGATCCATGGGCCTACGTGATTGATTGCAACTCACGATTACCTTCATTCCCTCGTTTCGAGACACCATCCTCAGTGGCCTCAGTGCCCGCATAGCACGCAGACTCTTGAGCCATGACAGATTCAAATCGGCTGACAGAGACACAGCCAGAGTCGCCAATACGCTATATATCGCAGGGCGCAGGCCACGTCATGTGCGCATACATGATTTGGGGTCGAGTGTGAATGCGATGTTGATGACCGACGTGATGACGATAAAGAAATCCAAGACATTCCAGGCGTCACGCAAATAGGCCGTCCTCTCACGCACAAAACCGTACACAAGAATCTGAGACACAAAGAAGCTGCCATGATGCACAGCGTGCGCAGTCACGCACAGCGTCTGTGTGCTGTGCCACCTTCATGAAGGCTTCAAGTGTGAAGAAGACAGTCAGCACGACATCCAGCGCAAAGAGGATGTCCTTAGTGTCAGACCCGGGAGACAGGCCTGGCTTGTCCATCGCCAGTCCTGCACCCACACAGAGACAATCAAGGAAGGGTCCATTTATTCCACTAGAACGACAGTTCATGCATTTTACCGACAGCCCCCACTGCGATGAGCCCGTATATGAAGCTGTCGAAGAATGGATGCTTCACCACATTCCACGCCCACACACGCAAAGGATGCTCCGGCTTAAGGCAAAACAGCGCGTCCCCCACCGGGCCTTGTGTCTTAATCACAGTAGACCCCGAGACGCCACTCGGCTGTCTCGCGAAAGACCCTGTCGCCGACCGAAGCAGTCCGAGTGTCTGTGTGGTAAGCTTCCGCAGCAGATTCGACGGCGTCTTGACGGCTGCTGGAGGCATCGGTGACGGTCCAGGCAGCGCCTCACTTGAGGTCGCGCCAGAGCTCATCTCCTTCGGGCCTCCAGTGGACGACTCGAAGTGCTTGATGAGGATGGCCAGGAAGAGGTTGAGCAGGATATAGTTGCCAAGGATGACAACTGAGACGAAGTACAGGGCCGACACCCAGCTCTTGGTCTCAATGCCGACGTATGCGACGCTGTTCCAGTCCTCGCCCGTCAGCAGGATGAAGACAGTGGTAAACGAGTTGAGAAAATTCTTGAAGTTTGGCCGGATCAGCTCCTCTTCATCGCTCGGGTCGTCGGACCAGTCGTCTTTCAGCCATTTGCCGCCTGCACACGGAGCACTCAATCAGTGACAATAGCTTGTTCCTTCTTTTCACTGGCCTCGGTCACCATAAATGGCCATGCCGAGCAGCGTGAAGACGAACATGAACAGGAACATGAGCAGTCCAAGGTTGGCGATCTCCCCAAGCGATGCCATCACCGTCACCAGCACTTTCCTGAGCCCTTTCCAGGAACGAGCCAGCCGCAACACGCGGAGGAGCCTGAACGTCCTGAGTGCCGTGAAGACGCCATTCTTGTCTGGGAGAATAGAGAAGGGAACGTAGTTTAGGACCGTAATCTCGCCAATACTTATCCAAACAATGATACTGCAAGGGGGAGACACACATATACACGTAGTGTGAACAGAATTATCCAGTGGATGGGTCTCGTCTGTCTTGCGTCTCTTACAAATCGAATGTGTTGAAGCCATCGGCGAAGTATGCCCTGCATCCGAGGCCAGTGAGTTTGATGGCCATCTCGCCGAAGAACACAAAAGTGAATACGTAGTTGAATGTGTCCAGCAGCTGACACAGATACCAAGCAACCGAGCATCCATACATGTCGATTTTTCCTCCTCTCAGATTATCCTCTGACCTTTTGCAGGTCTGCATCCATGCCGCTTGTGTCACTCTTGGTCGGATCATAATGGTCGATAGCGAGCACGACGGTGTTGACGATGATGAGCAGTGTGATAAAGCCCACGAACAGACCGTGGGCTTGTACCCTGTACAGCAATCGACGGAACCGACTTAGCGACAGCTCGTTGAAGTTGATCGTCTGGGACAACCATAACAGCAGAGAAGCCACTGAGAGCCTCGCTTTGTGTTAGTAAACAATACATACAGACACATCTGGATGCGTACTGCGCGGCCGTATGAGCGGTTTTTCCTTTTCGGGCTCTGTCCACTTGTCGCACTGGCCGCATCTCCGTCGGCGATCTCATCGGACGTCCTGTCAAAGTTGGAGACGAGCACAGCGACGACCAAATTGATCATGAAGAAGGACCCCAAGATGATGAGCGAGGCGAAGTACAGGTCGTTGACGATGCCGCGAGGGTTGGTCTTTCTCATGTCGTACATGATGGGCGACCATCCCTCGAGCGTGATGACCTGGAACACCAGGAACATTGCTGCCGGCAGGTGATCGAACGATGTGACCCCATAGTTGGGATTCTCGCCCTTCTGCAGACAACGCGTGCCATCAGGACAACGCTGGAAAGAGTCTGCACTTCAGAGAAACAGAGACATACATCCGGCGCGGACAGGTAAGACATTGAATGGAGTTGACTTGTCTCGTCATACGTGGTCCATCAGGGTGACAAAATGCAGCATCCTCTCCCTCCATGAGCACAAAGCGGTCAGTCCCCTCCTGCTGCTCACAGATCCCAATGCCCTCATAATCGACCAGGATATTCCCAGCACTAGAAGCGTTCAGCGGAGGCGACTCCCCTGGAGGAAGCCCCTCGGCAACTGAAGGCTCGCAGAAACACTGCCGCCTCAATGCGCCCGCATAAAGCTGCACGCCGACAATGCCATACAGCACGATAACGAACGCGAAGAGGATCAAAGCATCCCCGAGCATAGGAAGGGAATCAATTAGCGACTTGACGAGAATGCGCATGCCGGGGAAGCGATTGATGGTTCGCAGAGGTCGCAAGAGACGAATGGTACGCAGAGCGGAGAAGCCAAGGCTTGACAGCGACTCAAAGAAGAAGCCGATCCATCCGGCGACAACGACAATGAAATCGAGGATGTTGAAAGGATCCTTGAGATACGAATTGCGCCCCAACACAAAGCCCATAGCGATGATCTTGAAGAACATCTCCACCGTGAAGAGATAGAGAAAAATGCTGTCGACCTCAGCAAGGAACTTCTTGCGCGATGGCGGGGCCTGCGGCTCGTCCATCGCCATGACGACGCAATTTGTCGCAATAATAAGCAAAACCACCCGGTCGAACCATGGGTTGGACACCATCTGGATGAAGAACGCCCTGACAGGATTCTTAGGCGTTAGGCCACAGAGAGCAGTAGTGGCATATCTGCCATGTGGCGTCACTCCCGCGGCCTTATAGACCTCCAGCATGCTGTGGCTCCGAGTCAGCAGCTCCCGCATCCACACGTGTCGAGGCACGGATGCCTCAGGAACCGCCTTTGTAAGCTCTGCCGGCGGTGGTGGTGGTGCACGACCGATGGGCAGAGGAGACAGGGGCGATCCCGGGTGCGGGTCAGGGGCATCAAGATGAACAGCCTCCACGTTCTTCTTCGCAAATTCCGTCGCGAGGTTTTGCCTGCCGTCAGCTGCCGTCGGTTGTCCTGATCGCATTGGCGAGAAGACAGAATCCTCATGAAGCTGATAGACAGGTGTGTGATTCGCGCGTGGCCCTGCTCTGCTGCTAATATGAGACTCCTTCTCTTCTTCTTCGTGTTCCAAGATAGGAACATCGACTGTGTGGGGTCGCACGTGCTTTGGGCTCTGGCCCTCCCCGAGGGACGTCTGAGAGAAGGTCACGCTGAGCCGAGACGTGGACCGGCCGTAGTCTCGCCGAAGGATGGACGATGGCCGCTTCGGTGGCGTGACGTCTCGAGCGCTTGTCGGAGGCTCCTGCCGCGCGGAGGGCTCAGCAGGGGGAAGGGCGTGTGCGGGCTCGATTGGGCGCTGTGCAGAGTGCTGCTGGATGAGTATGGCGATGTCGTGCTTCCGCCTGAGCATCGGATTCCACTCGAGAAGGTCCAGTGAGAGGCCTCCCTTGTCCTCTCCATCTTTCCCTGCATCCGTCATCTTGGGCGACTTGCCCCTTTCCGCATTTAGGCTCTCTTCGAGTATCTCCAGCAGCAGAGATGAGTTGCGTTTGCCGCCTTGTTTATCCATTGATTCGGGGAGGAGGCCCTCCATGCCCTTGACGCTTCCTCCAAGCCTTGCAGCAGCTCGATTCATCATTGTCGTAGATCTCCGTTTCTTCAAGTACTTTCCCTCAGGCTGGGGGCCACATGCAGACGGGGGGCACTTGAAAAATCAAGCTTGCAAACGCGTGCGTTGCGGACAACGTATTGCGGAGCGAACACAGAAGGCAGGATGTGTGCGTGACGGCCCGAACACACCGACATGTATGCAAGACCTCTTTGCATGTTTGCACTTCCCTCTCATCTCTGTTAACGCTCTTTTCCTCCTCAAATGTCATTGCTGATCCACAAGCGTCAACAGTCTGTAACAACAGAGTCAAGTCGGCCCATCTCTGGCTCAAAGCTGCGCGACACAAAGCCGCCCTCCCCTCCCCCCATGCCGCCCCGTCTGGACCTCAACCCCTACTGCCAGACCAACGTCAAGCTGCCTCCGCTCTCCACCAATTCCTCCTCCAAAAGACAGCAGCAGCAGCAGCAGCAGCAGGACAAGAGGGACGCTGCCAGAGACGCCCACTGTGACGATGCTGCCAAGAGAAACCGAGAGTATGTGCGGCTGCTACAGCAGAAGAACCGGGACTTCGCACGACGGATGAGTGACTGCCGGGAGCGAGAGGAAAGCATGAAGAGGCGGCTACAACAGTCCGTGCTCAGCAACATGAGGATGCATTCACTCAAGCGGAAGACACAGGCCCATCCACACCACATTGGCAGTGCAAAGCAGAGATCGCACTCGGTCGACTGTTCCGCGTCTGGTGCGAGGCGAGCCCCAAAGGAAGACGCCACATTCGCAGAAGATGACGCGCAAAAGACGGTGGACCGTTCGGTCTCCCCGGCCGAGCCAGCACCCACGTCAGAGACAGCAGCGACAACTTGCTGCCCCTCCCTCGATTCGACCACAGCGCCATCCAGTATCCTGGCAGACAATCAATTCTCCGAGCCACTGCCGATCCGCGACGAAGAGACAGCAGCCCTTCCCCCGAACGCCTTGCTGGCGCCTGCAGGTGTTCCAACAAAAGCCGGACAGTCGCCTGTGGCAGCGGCCAACGAGCCAGCGGAGCCGGAAGCAGAAGAGGACGGGGAAGCGGCCAGCACCGATGAGAGCAGTCGCCTCCGGTCCCTCTTCCGCAGTAGGCACTTCTCCTTCCTCAAGACTTTGCAGGCCACCAAGCGCGAGAAAGATGCCGAGAGGGAAGAGGCCAGGGAGCGATTCGAGGCCCACCTGAAGAAGCTGAGGTCTCATCTCGGTCTGTCAAGGATAGCAAGCCGGTATCGCGTGAGGAGCTGGTCACCCGCCTCACATCGGTTCGGGAAGGGTGTGAGCCAAGACAGCAGTCGGGCCAAGAGAGACGGAGACACGGGCGAGGATGCCGCTCAAGTCGAGAGGAGAAGGGAGGCGAACCGGAAGATCTTGATGCTCCAACAGGAGTGAGCAGTCTTGGGGAGGATGGGAATACAACACTGACTCTGGTGTCCGATGGACATGCAGGCAGCTGGCGAGGATGATGGAAAAGAAGAGGGCCGAGAAGGCAAAGGAGGAGCAGAAAGAAGCGATGCGCCAAATACTCCTCAAACAGGTACGGGCGTGGCGTCCTTCCGTCGAGACTGCAGGCGACACTGACCCCTCCCTGTGTCCATCCGTTTGTACGTACATGTCTCAGGCCCGGGCGACAGTGCTAGCCAAGTGCTCCAAGCAGCGTTCACCCCCCTGTCCGCCGCCATGCCCTGCTCCCACCGCCCCCCCTCTCGACCAGCCTGACAGCAGCAGCGACCAGTCCAAGCCGCCCACACCAGCTCCGCAACCCCAGACGTTCAGGCTCCACAGACCGCGCAGCTCATCTGCCCTTCGACCGGATGCGTCATCACCATCGCGTGTCGCAGCTGCTGGTCGCAAGGATGGTGTGGTGTCGAGCAGCCCGTCTCCGGTGCGTATGGCGAGGAAGGCTGAGAATGAGGGGCCGCTGCCCACAGACAGGGGGGACGGCGCGAGAGGGGGGACCAAGGCGTCTTGTGCTGTCAGCGCTACGGCGTCAAACATATCCGGTATGTATGTGTACTGTAATGTACATGTTTTTGCTGCCTTTCCGTCCGTCCGTCCACATTTGTAGGTTTGCATCGGTTCCTAAATCGCATGTCTGAGGGTCTGGCCAAGAACCAGCGCGTGCCATGCGTGGACATGCAGCACTGGAAGAGAAGACAGAGTGTCCAACCAGACACCAAAGTGAGTGAGTGAGTAAGACAGTGAGACGCCAACCATGGCTCTCGGCGTCAACCTCTGCCTGTGTCGTGTCGTGTCGCGTCAGGTCTTTATCTGTTTGGGGGGCTATCCTGACATCAAGCGTGCATTATGGCGTCGTGGGTGGGTGGAGAACAGCGACCCCGAGAGCGACTTTTGGGACCTCAAGTGGACACTCAAGGCCAGGGACATCGGTACATCGGTCGATCCACAAACCGTCCGTCAGTGCTCGGTTACCCTACCTTTGTCTTTGTTGATGCTTGTACGTACGCCCGACTGCGTACAGATCACACCAAGCTGGAGGACCACCAGATTGTCAATCATTTCAGTCGCAACACGGAGATCACAACAAAAGTCTCACCAGATAGCCTAACCTGTGCCTCAATCAACCAACGACCCACACATTCACAGCACCCCTCACTCTGATGTCCTTCTTTCCTTCTGTGGGGTCTGTCTGTGTGCGTTGTGTTGTGTGCAGATCGGTCTGCTCCGCAATCTCCGGTCTCTGATATGGTTTGAGGATGTGGACATCGACACTTTCTTCCCAAGATGCTTCGACCTCTCTGACCCGGCGGAGATGCAAGACTTTGTCGACGAGTACAAAGTGAGTGAGACATTGACTAATCTGCTTGTCTCACCTTTGCGGCCCCCCAACAACATTAATGACATTCGCGTGCATTGCATTCGTGTCTGCTGGTACCCACGTCAGACGTGCAAAGCGATGGCCATTCTCAAGCTGTACGTCCAGCAGCTGAAACGCAAGTGGGCATGGCAATCGAATCGATTTGCTTTGCTATTCGATGCACGTAGACAAACACTCATACACTCTCGTTTGCGTCTCCTCTGTCTGTTCATTCAGGATCTTTTACCTGAAGCAGCAGCGGGAGGGCAAGGACCCAGCAGCAAAGGCCAGCCTGCAGTACGACCTCCGTCACCTTCTTCTTCGCACCACCACCCGCTCCTCCCAGACGCCCTCATCCGACCACACCAGCCGGGCGGCCACCTCCCACCTGCAGCCCAAATCGCGACCCTTCTCGAGGAAAGATGAGGCCATGCTCAATGTCGACACCTGCCCGCCGGTGTACGGCGAGGTCATTGTTCAGACTGGTCCGTCGCGATTGATTTGACCATCACAAATGACAAATGGTCCTTGGTAGCACAGCATCTACAGGCGTCTGTGTCTGTGTCTCTCCCTCGGTGTCTGTGTGCAGCTCTTGAGGTGTGTCAGCGGTCTCTCCGCGACATCGATGACGTCATCGACGACCCTGTCAGTCACTCAATTGGGGAGCGCAAGACGCTGAATGAATGCGGATGTGTGTCTGCCCTGCCTGTTTGTATTGCATGCACCACACAGGATTCCGAGAGCAGCCTCCTCGTCAAGAACCACGAATGGGCCATACTCAAGAACGTACGCCAAGCCAAGACACACAGCACAGCATCAAGATTGACAGAAGTCTCCCCCCTCTCCCGTCAATCAATATGTATGTAGGTGTCTTTAGAGGACCCCACCCAGGCTCTCCCCGACTGGTCGCGAGCCGAGGCCCTCCGCGAGAGGTATCTGCGGCGGCTAAACAAGAAGGCCCTTAAGAAGCGCAAGAAGAGAGCCAAGAAGAAGAGCTCACTCGGACCTGTCTCGCCCTTCGACGCCTACCACGCTGGCCAGGATGAGGAGCAGGGGGATGACGGGGATGGAGAGGACGGGGGGGAGGGGAGTGAGGGCAGGAAGGACGGCGGCAAGGTCAGGCCTCTCAATGGGGAGCAGTACCTCCAGCCGGAAGAGCGCATCTTGCTCAGAAGGGTAGGTATACGGGGCGTTTCTCTCACGGTTCGGAATGTGTTGTGGTGTCCACTGACTGCATGTCATGTGCGAGCAGGTGCGTGAGGCGCTCCATACGTTGCGTGAGAGGTCCCCTCAATTTGACATGGACGGCACCAGCAACACGTGGGTTGCCAAGCCAGCCGGGAAATCGAGAGGCAGGGGCGTGCAGATACACACTAACCTCGGTCAGTCATTGCCCTTCCTGTCTCCCAGCTGATGAGAGAGAGACGCGTCGCGTCATTGCGTGGTGTGTGCAGACTCGTTGCTGGACCAGGTCAAGACGCGTGAGTGTCAGTGGATAGTGCAGAAGTACATCGAGACGCCCCAGCTGATCCTGGGCCGCAAGTTCGACATCCGGCAGTGGGTGCTTGTCACCGACTGGAACCCTCTCACCATCTGGTTCTACCTAGACGCATACCTCAGGTATGTAGGACACAGTCATTAATTGCTTGTGTGGCTGACGAACATGTCGCGCGTGTGCACGTGTGCTGTGTATGTTTGTCGTGTCACTCGTGCAGGTTTGGTGCTGACGAGTATTCGCTCAAGAACACGGACAACCGCTATGCGCATCTGACCAACAATTCGGTGGTCAAGTATGCCGACAGCTTCGGGGAGGTCATCGACGGATGCATGTGGACTTCCGAACAGTACAGCGCCTTCCTCAAAGAACAAGTCAGTCAGTCTGCAAGGAGAGCGAACGGACGAAGGAGTCACTGCCTGTCGTGTGTGTGTGTGTGCCTATCTACATCAGTATGGTGAGGATGTGTGGGATTCCCACTTCCAGGCCCGACTGAAGCGCATCGTGTACTGGTCGCTCACGTGTGCCCAAGACATGGTACACACAAAGAGAAGAGACAAGACATCTTAGGGCTAGGCCTTGCGTGTCTCCCTCACTCCCTCCACCCGACCTCGATTGTCCGTCCCGTCTGTCTGTAGGTTGAGAATAGGAAGAATTCCTCTGAGTTGTACGGGTACGACTTCATGGTGGACGAGAACCTCAACGTGTGGCTCATCGAAATCAACTCGTCACCCGCCATGGACTACTCCACCAAGGTAAGGAAGGTACACATCCATCCATCGATCCACCCTGTAATGGATAGCTAATGTGATGTATGTTATGTGTGCAATGCAATGCAATGCAGGTGACCAAGAAGCTGGTCAAGCAGGTGCTGGAGGACTCTATCAAGGTGATGGTCGATTACAACCTGGCCCCGCCCAAGAAGAGGGATCAGGTCGACACCGGCAGATTCGAGCTGCTCTACAAACACAAGGTCAGCCACTCCACTCGGGGCCACGGACAAATGCAATTACTGAATGCCATGTGGTGCATGTGTGTACGCAGAGGTGTGTAGAGCGCCCGCAGGCCTCTCTTGGAGTGTCTCTCGTGCTGCAGGGCAAGCCTATCGTCATACGCAAGGCACAGAGAGCATAAAAATGCATGAAGGAACTAGCCGGCTGTGGCGCTTGCCGCAGGACGGAATGGGTGATGGATTGGTTTGTATGCGTGGGATGCATTGCATTTCTGATTGATACGCGCGTGAGTGTGAGTGTGGTGGTCTTGTACGTTTCATTCCTTCATTCATTCAGCAGACCAGACAGACCCCTTACATGTCGTTCCTCAATTGTCAGCGTACACACATGCACACACGCACCACACCGCACCCTGCCATCCATTGTCACACCATACCCATCACAGGCTGCATGTGCTGCACGCCTTAGCTGGCCTCCTGCCGCCCCACCCACCCACCCGCACACACACACCAACGGCACTCACACGCCCAGCTGTTGTGTTGTGGTGGAACGTTAACGGCCTCACGAGGCTCAGCAATACGAGGCCAGAAACCCACACCAAACAGACAATGTAGAGCAATCAGAGCGCATGCACCACAGCCAGCCCGCCTGCGCCTTGCTCGTTCTCTCTCCTTCGTCGCCACATGCCGGATGGGCACCACTACTCAACGTGACTGTGTTGAGGCGGCGCGCATCCGGACACAGCACCAAAGTGAAAGGGAACGAAGCAATCCGCAGACAAGGGGTTAACTCACGTCACCACGACGTCATTACAACCAACCAACCAACCAGGCAACCAATCAACATGCAGTGCACCCGCCCCACCATCATTCAATTCATTCATTCATTCATTCATCCTGCATTCCTTCCTTCCGACACCTTTATGCGCATGTCCACACATGAGTGTCGCCGTCTGACATCGATGTTCATGTGTGGTGCATGTTCACCCAGACAACACACGGTTATATCCATGAACTGTCTAGATGACCCCTCCACCTTCGCCACCCGCCTTCTCTCCCCCAGTGGCCGCTTCCGTCGCATCATCGTGAGTGTCGGCCGCGGCACCATCCTCCTTGGGCTCCTCTGACGTCCCCTCTCCCGCACCGTTCTCATCCTTGTCATCACACTCGCCGTTCTTCGCTGCAGCCGCACCAGCACCAGCACCAGCACCACCAAAGCGCTCACGACGTCGCCTCTTCTTGTCTTCCTCCTCAGCTGAGCCATTCGCCTGTGCAGTGCCGAAGCGCTCCGCCCGCTTGCGCCGCTTCGCGCCTTCTGCCGTCTGCGCGCTCGATGCAGCAGCATTCACTTCAGCGATGCCGAACCTCTCCGCCCGTTTGCGGCGCCGCTCAGCCTCCTCTGGGTCGACGAAGGTCTTCTGTGCCGACTTGCTGGGCGCTGCATCGTCTGCAGAGGGGGAGGGGGTCTCGGAAAGGCCGAACCGCTTGGCGCGCAGAGCCATCTTCTCGCTGTGCGCGGATGAGCTCATTGGTGGCAGATCTCAAGTAAAGAAGGACACAGAAACGTAGGAGAAAGCTAGGGAAGCAAAGGAACGTTCTTCCTTCGCCACTCAAGCTCGCCCTTTTCAAGCTCGCACTTGGAGGGGGATCTGTTCTGTTCTCTGCAATTATGACGTCATTGGAGAAAGATTCGAGCCCTCAGAGCCTGACGGAGCCGGAGGAAGTGAGAAGGGATGCGCCCAGACGGAGGGTCTCACTCAGTGGCATGGCCAACCATGTAAGCAAGGCACCCACCATGAAGGGACGAGAAAACGATGAGTAATGATGGCATATATAACGTAATCGAGATCTGTTGCTGGCGTGTGGTGTGTCCAGGTGGTAGCTGTGCTCGGGGCGCAGTGGGGCGATGAGGGGAAGGGGAAGCTGGTGGACATCCTGGCGAGAGATGCACACGTCTGTGCCAGATTCAACGGTGAGTGAGGAAAGACAGACCAACACTGAAGCCAGGCCTGGCATGAATCTCGCTTGTGCGTTGATGGACTGCCCGTGTGCTGTGAGTGCAGGGGGATCCAATGCAGGCCACACGCTCCACGTGGTACTGTACGTCGCTCACATCACATCGATCTACCTTCACGACCTGCACTGTCATGTCATGTGTCCTAACTTTAATCCTGTGTGCTGTCCTATCTTTTTCCATTATCAAATGAATCCATCGCATATATCGATCAGGAGGGCAAAAAGTATGCGCTTCACCTGCTGCCGTGCGGCTTGCTGTACAGCGGTGTCAAGAACCTCATCGGCAACGGGGTGGTCGTCCACCTCAAGACGCTACTCGAGGAGTTGGAGCAACTCAAGGACTCGGACCCACAAGCCATCACCAGGTATACTATACATATGCGGGGGTGGGTGCGCACACACAGTCATGGGATGGATGGATGGAAGATCCATTGCGTCTTTCCTTTGCCCTTTCCCCTTTCCTGTGCCTGTCTGTGTGGCAGGCTGTTCATATCCAACCGTGCGCAGCTGCTGTTCGACTTCCACCAGACGGTCGACGGCCTATACGAAGCCGAAAAGACCAAAGACGGAAGTCAGTCAGTGGGATTCGGACTCACACCAACCACAGCAGCGCATCTGTGCCGCCGGTATGGCTGTGTTGTCTTGTGTTGTGTTGTGTATGGTTTTTAGATCAGATCGGCACGACCAAGAAGGGCATCGGCCCGTGCTACTCGAACAAGGCGGCACGGTCGGGTGTTCGTGTGGGGGACCTCCTCTACTGGGACACATTCGTCGAACGAGTAAAGAATGAAGGAAACCACATATACGACTCTAACTCTAACTCTTCCTCCACCATTGTGTGTGTGCAGTACACTCGGCTGCTGAACGAGTACAAGAAGCGGTGAGATAGCGGCTCGACACACCACGACGCACTCGGCACACCAGAACCGTGCGTGTCGTCTCGTGTGTTGGCTGCTCGTCGCTCGTGCAGGTTCAGTTTTGAGCACGATGCAGAGGAGGAGCTGGCGCGACACAAAAAGTACCTGGAGGTGCGGTGCGAGGGCGGGCGGAGAACACACACAGACAGATAAAACAAAAGAGCTAGCTAGCTACATGCCTGCGAAATGGAATGGCGTGCCTGTTGTGCATAACAGACCATCAAGGGTCAGATCACCGACTCGGTCTACTTCATGAAGGAGTCGCTCGACAGAGGCGAAAAAGTCCTCGTGGAAGGTACGCAGGAAGGAAGGATGCACACACACACCGACCGACATACACACACGCCACACAGCACTGTTTCGCCTATTTTCAGGTGCCAACGCGACGATGCTGGACATAGACTTTGGGACGTACCCGTTCGTGACGTCGTCGAGCACGGTGGCAGGCGGCATCTGCATCGGCCTGGGCATCCCGCCCACACAAATCGACTGCTGTATCGGCGTGGTCAAGGCATACACCACACGAGTCGGCAGCGGACCATTCCCCACAGAACTGCACGGTGGGTACGGCGGGCTGGCTGGGCGATCGAATGAATGCAATGCACAGACAGAGGGGGAGGGGAGGGATGGGGCGAGCGAGCGATTGTCGTGGTGCGGTGCGCGTGTGTGTGTGCAGATGAGATAGGGAAGCACCTGCAGGAAGTCGGTAAGCACTCGAGACAGCACTGGTGGGTGGGTGGATGGCATAGACGACCGGTCCCCGTGTGTGTCTTGTGTTGTGTTGTGCTGTGTTGTTGTGTGTCTGCCGGTAGGTAGCGAGTTCGGCACGACAACGGGGCGCAGACGCCGTTGCGGATGGCTCGACATGGTCATGCTCAGGTAGGCAACACCTGCCCACATACTCCGAGATGAAGAGGCAGAGACGGTCCATTCGCGCGTGTGTGTGTGTGTGGCATGGCATGGCATGGCTGCAGGTATTCTCAGTGCATGAATGGGTTCCACTCCGTCAACCTGACCAAGCTGGACGTCCTCACGGGCATAGACCAACTCAAAATCGCTGTCGCATACAAACTGCCAGATGGTACACACCTACGGTCGACAAGCATCACAAGCATCCACACCTCCATTCCATTCCATGAATCCATACCCATCCCTCCCTCCCTCCCTCCCTTGTTTGTATTCCTTCCTTCCCTTCCTCCCGCAGGCACGGTTCTGCCCGAGGGCTACTTCCCTGCTGTGTTGGAGGAGCTGGCGAGCGTGGAGGTGGTGTACGAGACCATGTCCGGCTGGACCGAAGACATCTCACAGATGACCACATTCGACCAGCTCCCGAAAGCAGCACAGGTCAGTCAAGTCAGTTTCCGCACAGACAGACAGACGAGTGAGTCCATCACACGTGTGAGTGTTTGTGTTGTGTTAAGGACTATGTGGTGAGGATTGAGACCCTCATGAAGGTGCCGATATCATGGGTACGGAAGGCACAGACCGACCGACAGTCAGACAGACAACGAAGCCTGCCTGACCTGTCTGCTGCGGGTGTGGTGTTGATGTGTGTGTCAGGTTGGCGTCGGCCCCGACCGGCTCAACACGATCCGCCTGCGCCCCTGAGAGAGACAGACAGATAGACATGCGTGTGCCGACCCTACCCGACTCGCTATGCCTTGCCTTGACGTGCCTGCCGTAGAGATAATGCAATGCTCGATAGGATAGATGTGGTCATATACCTACCTAGATGATGGGGGTGGACGGACGGAGAGGGGGGGGGCGGATGGGGTGGACCCGTCACGGATTGTCTTTTCAGCCATCAATCCAATCAACCATCGAGTGGGTGGGCTATGTGACGTGACGTGACGTGTATGGCCGTATATACATGCTATGCTGTTCCTTAATTCGTCTTTTGGAGTGAGTTATCGGTTTGGGTGGTGTGGTCTTGCTGAAACGATGGATGGACGGACACTTCCTTGCTCATGAAATGCATCGAGACGGCGCTTTGAGCAACCGGTTTTGGCTGGTTGCTGGGTGGGACGAGACTTTCGTCATTCGCTCTATCTATCCGGATCCTCCAGTGGATGGGCTCTGCGCAGAGATTTTTGGCTTGGCTGGCGTGGCTCTCTTTAAGTGGACTGCTTCCTTCGCTTAGTCAATCGCATGTGGTGTGTCCGATGTACAGGTATCTATCTACACAACACACGAGAGTGCGAGAGTGCTCTCCGAGTCGCCAAAGGGACTATCCCACCCGATGGATGGATGCTATGGTACGTATCTATCTATGTAAGTAAGTATGCACGCCACCCATCCGACCTAGAAAACCATACAGACCACTTGTCTGCCCTGCCCTGCCATGCCATGCCTCGAACATATAACGACAGCTCAACGCTTCTGAGGGGGGAAGGCAAGTATCAACACCAGCGAGCCGCGCCACACACACACACACACACGTACGTCATACATCACACATGGATGGCCAGACAAACAGACAGACAAACAAACAGACAAACAGACAGACAGACACGGCAAAAACCGGCACAGCACACCTGTAGTCAGTATGTGTCATGCCAGGAGTCAGTCAGTGATTGATTTATTGACAAACAGCAGTGTAAGTGAGTGGCTTGACAGACAGACAGACAGACAAAACACCAAGCTGACTGGCAGGGCGACAAGACAAGATGACCTATCATCGCTCTCAGGCTGGCAGTCCAGGAGAGCCCGGCTCTCCTCTTGTCTGGCTGGGGGACCGTTCAGCTCACACGGGATGAGCTGCGTGGTCATGTGCCAGATCCACGTCTTCGAGGAGAGCAAGAAGATCATCTTTCGTCTCGGAATCTTCAGGCGCCGGCGTGCTGCCAACAAAACACACGACCATCCATCCATCCATCCATCGATCCATCCCGTCCGTCCGTCCGTCCGTCCGCAGTGCATGGGAGCGTGTCGGTGATGGCTTCTTTTTCACTCACCTTTCGGGAATCGCCAGCAAATCATCCATCCATGAACCCGAAGGAACAGGATCAGTTGCGACGCACGGATTTCTTGGATCCTGATCTGAGCGGGCTACACAATCCAGCCATGATGGCAGGGAAAGGCGCCGGCGGAACAGGTGTAGCTTCGGGATGTTAGCATCGTCTTGGCCACCTTGGCTGAAGACAAACAAACAGCAAAACAAAAACAGACAGATAACCCAACCACCTTTTTGATCCCTGTGGGTGTGGTGTGGTGTGTCCCCCCCGTGCTGTGCTGCTTGCTCACAGTCGTCCCTCGGTGGTGCCCGCTGCCCGGAATGCTTCCTTGATGGGCTCGTTCATGTCAGGGAAAAACGGATTCTCCATGTCCACAAAGAACGGCTGGTCCCCAACCTGTTCGTCACCAGCCTGAGGCGGCACCGTGGGGTGGAAGATGCCCTCGGCCGCCTCGGCGTTCTGCAGCCCCCCAGCCACACCACACGACACAAGCACAAAGCGCGTCAATGGATGGGATGATACACGTGTGCTCAACGGATGTGCCTCAGTTATGCCAGTGCTCTTCCTTCCTTCCCACCGAGGACACGAGCTCCCGCAGGGGGGATTCATTACCCGAGCCGCCACAGCTGACGGCAACGGCCATGCACAAGAAGGCGGGCAGGGCGACACCACACCGAAAGGCCGACGTCATGGTGTTGACCGATGGATGGCAAGAAGGTCCAAAGAAGGCTGTAGAATACAAGTGGGCGGATAGCTTGGGAATGGCGGATAGATCTGACGCGTTGTTGAGGTGCAGGCCGGTTGGCTGCACCACACGACAGCAGGCCGCGACAGTCTAAGTCCATTCGAAGACGGGAGAGAATGGAGACCGCACCCGGTGCCTCTCCCTCAAACTCTCCTTCTCCCAATCGCTGAAAGCAGTGATGAAGATACTGTTCCAGACGGACAACGCCCCGAGAGCTGCATGCGGGTCACGTGAATGGCGAAAAAGCTGAGGCAGAGGTCATCCGTTGCAAGATAAGCTCGCAGACGGATCGCAAGCTTTTCGTTCCCAACTCATCTCTCTCCAACTCATCATCAACGCGAGCAACGCAGGGATACAGCTCGAGGAACCATCCCCAAGTGAAGATCCGCTGCTTCCGCGATGCCGTGGCGTTGCGCAGCGTGCGACCACACTCAGTACCAGCAGGATGCCATCTCCGGCCTTCGGTCGTGCACCGTGTGCGGCACCATCGACGAGAGGAGCGGCCAGGAGGAGCAGATGGGCGACTTCGACGACCCCATGGGCGGCATGATGTTCGCCAGCTTCAGGAGGCAGCAGGAGGTCAATCCCGAGAGGGCGGCTGCTCTCCTGGGCACACAGGCGGACAAGGAGGCGGCTGCATTTGGTGGCGAAGAAGCGCATGAGAGGGTGGAGCGGGAGGAGGACTATGCTTTGCCCACCATGTATGAGATCCCCATGCCGCCCGCAGGGAGCGGCCCGACCGAGGAGCATTTCCTGCTGGGCATGCAGACGATGCTGCGCGAAATGGTGAGGCAGCTGGTGGAAACCTGGGGGCTGCCGGCCGCCATCGAACGGGAAACCAAAAAGGTAAGGGAGGTGGGCAATGCATTGCAATGAACGAGGGAAGGGAGGGAGGCAGGGATGTTTGTTTGTGTGTGCGGTGTGTGCGGAGGAGAGAAGGCTTATGAGTGCTGGTTTGTTCTTGTTTGTCGTTGTTGTGTGCATCTGCATCCAATTCAGGTGTGGCTGGCTTACCTGTCCTTCTACCAGCGCCACCAGCTCCCGCTCAACTCATTCTTTGCCAACATGCGCAGAAGAACGCTCCGGATCCCGTAAGTAAGACCGATCTATCGCAAACAAAGAGATAAACAGATCCATCCCTGCATGCATGGCCGCGCTGCTCTTGCTTCTGGACACACACAGGTGGGCGTCCCTCTATCAGACGGCCGCTCCGACAGACATCTCCGAGGACGGCAGGGCAAGCTTGACGCCTGCCGCAAGGAAAGGTAAGGTGCCTCGCCACACACTCACACTTTAAGTATACACATCACCGCTCTCACCCACCCATCTTGGTGTGTGTCTTGGCCAGTTGTGGAGGTGATGGGCACCGACCGTGTGGCCTACGTCAGGAGCCTGGCGCCCTCCGCCATCGGCCGGGGCAACATGGAGCGCCGTGTCGACAGGGAGGAGAAGGAGAGGAAGCGCCGCAAGGCGGCCAAGATGGGCCTGGCCGAGGACGAGCCACAGGAGGACGGTGTCATGGACGAGGGAGGAGACAGGGAGGGAGAGGATGAGCAGCCAGAACTGACCGGCAACCAACAGGTGCGCGTCAAGCAGGAACCAATCGAGGAAGACGGCCCAACCCCCGAGCAGACTGCTGGCCGAGCAGCAGACGGCGAGAGTGAGTGCCAATCAGACTCCTCTGACAGCGAGAGCGACTCCTCCCTCGCCGACACATTTGCCGATACGGGTCATGAAAAGAAGAAGCGTCGGCCTGGGCGGCGGCGGATCGGCTACCCCGCTCACCTGCTCATGCCCGACAACAAAGTCAGCATCTATGCCCGCGACCAGCGGGAGCCGACGCCACTCGGACTGCCCATTGTCTTGCTCGAGTGTCTGGCGCGGAGCAGAAAGATCAGCTGTGAGTGAGGCAACGAATGAGAGACGGAGGGAGGGAGGGAAGGCGATGGACGGACACGGCAGGCAAGAACACTCACTGGATCTGTTTGTGTGTGCGTGTGCAGGTCTGCACATGATGTATACCGACGGCACCAAGAACGTCGCCACCATCCCCCGCCGCAAGATCTCGCGGGACTTCCACTATGTCAACCGAACGGTCCCTAACCACACACACACACACACACACGCACACGCACACGAGGCCGTTAGATGAATGACATGGTACTTGCCCCCTCTGTGTACGTCAGGTGGATGCCATCTACGAGCACGACTTTCTGCTCCGGCTGATCCAGGCCGACACCGATCTGAGCACCGAGTACGACTTCACCCTTGCTGACAAGGACGTGGCCCCCTCCCCCGACTCTCCTGATGTCGGCAGCCAGCCAGAGGAGCGAAGGGGAGAGGGAGACAGCGACCCCGAGATGCACCAGCCTGATGATGGAGGTGGTGGTGGGCCGCCGGCTCCAGCGGATGGTGACGACGGCGTGACGAGGATGTCGGTGAGCTCTCTGCCGCTCCATGTGCTCAGGAACTTCTGGCCAGTGCAGTCGGACCTGGTCAGTCAGTCAGTCAGTGAGGGAGGGAGGGAGGGAGGGAGGGAGCTGACACTGTCCACTGTGGTCAGCTGTTTCTGCATCTGCATATCTACTCCGTGCTTACTTAATGCAGGTTCGTCTGCGGTATGGCAGAGGTCGCAAGGCAGGCCGGGTCATCGCTATCAGAACGGTGAGCGAACAGACAAAGGCACGATTCCTGTGAAACGGACGGCGAGTGGTCTGGTGGGTCTCCTGTCTGCAGATGTTGACCCGCCTGGGCGGCAGCGGTATCGGTGAAACGGCCCTGAGTCCGTCATCCCCCGACCCGCCCTTGCCGGCGACCTTGCCCCCGCTGGACCACACCACCATGCTCGCCATCCTCTGGCTGGGACTCGTCAACGCCAGGATAGGTAGGTATCGCTGAAGGATGCATGGTACGTGGATGCCCAAGCGACCGACCTGTGTGGTGTGCGTCTGCTGTGTGTGGTAGGCGTGACTGCGGCCGATATGAGTCGATGGTGCTGGCAAGGCCGCATACCACTGTGGGGTGAGTTCCCTCCCGCTATCTAGAGAGGGCGGAAGGAGAGGCAGGCCTGCCTATATTGACTGACGTGTCTGTGTGTTTGTTGTCTGTCATTTGTGTTATGTGGTTGTGTCTGATCAGCATCGGCCGGCAAGGTGCCCGACTGGCTGCTGGAGGCAGGGTGAGCTTGGCATGCACAACAAACGTGTTGGCGCGGCGACAACGAATGTATCTCTGTCTGTCTGTCTGTCTGCCTGTGTGTCTGTCTGTGTGTCTGTCTGTCTGTGTGTCTCGGCAGCTTCAAGTTCTACCATGGTGCGAGTAGAGTGCTAAAGGCCAAAACACTCTTCCAGGTCAGTGAGTCAGTGAAGTGAACAGCCGGCTGGCTGGGCTAGGCATGAAAGACACGAGTGTGTGTGTGTGTGTGTGTTGGTCAGGCTGGCCGGATTCCGACAGCAGCGGCCCTGAATGAGACCGCCATCGACCTGCTTCAGGTGTGTTAATAAATGCATCCCGCACATGAGGGGCCCTCGTCATTTTCGTTTGCTGTCCATGTCTGGTGTCAGTGTGGTGTGTGCATTACGCCCTTCAACCACCCTCCCCTCACAGCGCGGCTCCTGCACGACGCGAGACTCCCCATCTACCTCCAGCCGCTCGTCACAAAGTAGACAACCATCATACACACCAACATCCAACCATTTCTCCCCTCTCTCCGTCAATCAGGCTGTGTGGGCTTCTCTCCCGCCGTCGTGTCCCCTGGCGCACCATCGCCGTCTCACTGGTGGGTGAGCACCAGTGGACGGCCGCAAAGGGCCTGGTGCTCGGCACACACGGCAGCGACCCACGCAAGAAGACCGGCAGCAGGGCCAGTCAGAGAGCCAAGACACAACGAGGGGCGGTGGCATCGATGACAAGGGATGTGGAGGGGGAAGATGAGCAGGAGCAGCGGCATGGTGGGACGATCCTTGCGGCGGCGGTGATGGAGCTGGAGTTGGCCTTGAACATGAGGAGACAGACGCAGCTATACGGCACTTTTCCCAACGCACAAGGCTGGCCCACTCACGTGTTGGTCCCCTCTCTCATCCTGGTCGCTGCCCGTCTCGTGTGGCCGGTGCTCAACTCCAACCCGCCAGCCATCGCCCAAAACCTCGACGGCTCATCAGAGGGCGACGAATCAGACGAACGGCCTCTCGCAGACACAGCCGACGACGACCGGCCTCCCCGCCGTCGAGTGCACCCTTCCAGTAACGACGCGTGTGGGCGGCTGATGGCCAACATGCCCGAGAACCGAGAGCTCTTCCATGTGATAAGAGGGAGGGGGTGGTTGCACACAATGGGTGGATGGGTGGATGGTGTCTGTGGCGTGGTGTGATGTGATGTGATGTGTGCAGACGCTTTCCCGCACGTGTCGTGGGGTGGATTGGTCGCGGTGGCGGGCCGGGCCTTATGCGGAGGGCAAACACGTACGTTACGTACACACACACGCACAGGACAGGACAGGACAGGGACACTGACTGACATCGATTAATGCATCGACGCAGAAAGAGGGAGAGAAGCCTTGGGTTGTTTGTCTGTGTGTTTGCTCTGCGTGTGTGTGTCTGTGATTCAGTGGGCCGACATGAGTGAGGAGCAGCGCGTGCAGATCCTTGATGGCTTCGAGTAAGGAAGGAATCTGTCAATCAATCCACCTGTTATCCGTCCATGTGGGTTTGTTGTGTCCCCCCAGGTGCCCTCTGCGTCAGTTGGTCAAGGCGGCGGGGCCACTCGATGACATCGCCGAGTAGGCAAAACCATATCGATATACACGTCGATCCGTCAACACCCACGAGCGGTGCTGTCCTTGTCTATGCAGCCTGTTGCACACCATCACCACAGACCTGGCCAAGAAGGGCCGTGGCGAAGCCGAAGCCGAGCAACCAGACACTCCTCTACCACAATCCCCACAATCAGACCAGGCGGCTAACGGCCACCCAGACCCACTGGAGCCCCCGCAGGCAGAGACCTTGAGCCCACAACAAGCACTGCAGGTGAGGGCACAAATACGTTGGTTACCTTTTCAATGTTGCTGGCTGACATCCCCTGTTTGTTCCTCACTTGGTGCCATGCTTCAGCGATCCTACGGCGCCTACGAGAGCACTCTCACCCAGCAGTTCCCCGAGCCCCGCCCCCCCATACCCACACAATGGCGCTCTCCCGCCCGCATCAAGCGGCTTCTCCTTGGCCTTGACGTTGATGCCTCATCCGACGACAGTGACGATGGCGACTCTGACGACCACAACCGAGGAGAAGGCGACGGCTTCGGCAGCCACCACGCCCTGCCGTTCTTGCCGCTTCCGCACAAGGATCGGCTGCGGCCCACAGCTGAGAGGCTGCAGGGCGAGACGGAGGGGTGGGGAGGGCGGGAGAGCGAGAAGGCCAAGATGAAGAAGCAACATCACAGGAGGATACTCAGAGGTGGGCAAGTGGCGGGATGGCGGCCTGCTTTATCGGTGTGCTCTGCGTGCGTGCGTGTGTCATTTTGTACCGTCAGAAATGCCGGTTGCGTATTGCCTCCTGCTGCAGAAGCTCGCTGACCTGGTCGGCGAGCTGCCGCTCATAATACACGAGGTGAGTCCTCGACCATGCAGCTGGCTGGCCCCTTGTTGTGTGCATTGCTCAATGGCTGTGTGTGGTGTGTGCGCTCATTCATCCGTTCATTCAGTGTGTCCGTTTTGTGGAGGCCTGGCTGCCGATGGAGGTGGAGCTCATCGCCGCTGAGAGCTGACAGATGGGTGGGTGGATGGCATGGGTGAGTGTGTTGTGCAGAGACCTGCCTCTCTTGAACGTGAAGATAGATACGTTAATGTTTAATTTCAAACACGAATAAAGGGGAATTAAGGCCGTCAGTTCCAAATTGCAGTCACACACGCGTCTGTCGGTCCGTGGTGTACAGAGTGATCGGGAGGGCTAATTGCTTAACGGAAATGCTTCGGTGAACTATGGCCGGTCTTACTGTACTGAGCTTTTCTTTGCGTTCCTTGAGGGTGTGCCTGAGTCCCACACGCTGCCTCCATGCATATGGCCACGCAGGCCGGGCTGGGAAGAAGCGCCGCCCCTGGAGCACGAGATGGAGGTCATGCAGCGAGCAGTTTTCTGCCTCCACACGACTTCTCGCCGGATGGAGACGCGGGAGACAAACCCCACAAACCCTAATATGGATTTTCTTATCGTTTTTCCCCTGCACTTTCCCAAGCGTGTGTGACCCCTCAACCCCCCCGGGTGCGCCCGATACGGATATCGCGGCGCAGACTGGGGTTGTCACCTTTCAACGAGGTCACCACTGTGTGTGGCTGCCGCCGCCGCCAAGGTACCCCAAGGAGTCGACGGATGCAGCCAGGTATGACAGCAGTCTTCGCTGACAACGCTCTATGCGAGGTGCCTGAGCACACCTGGCGGAGATTGTGTGTGTGACGAGAAGTACCCATGGGCACGGCAGACAAAGGTAGTGGAATATCGCACTCTTACGAGGAAACCAAAAGGGCTGGCAGCCGGCGCCCTCGACGTAAACGTGGTATCGGGCTAGGGCGGCATAGGGGCGACAAAGTGTTCCCAACTTCTACGATTTCGTCGAAGACGCTATTCGCAACCCAACAGCAGTCTTCACTGACGAGCGCACAGCCGGCCTGGGCCATCTTCGTCATGGGGGGCCGGCTTAGCGTCCTCGAGGCATGTCCTGCACCCGTCGACCCCCTCGAGGCTCTCTGTGAGGTGCCTGAGCCACGCCGCACCAGCCGCCGCATCTTCGTGCCTAGCGCACACCTGGCGGAGATCGTGTGTGATAATAAGTATCGTGTTGCTGAATCTGAGGACGACTACTGCCTTATTAGTGCTGCAAGGTGGGCGACGGGGATGGCGGATGCATGCCACAGGCAATTGTTGACACTTTTGTGCCGAAAATGCCACGCCTACTTTTTACGGATGCAGTTGGAGTGTCGTCCGCGGCCTCGGACAGGTACGCCCACACAGCCGGGATGCCTCACGACGATACACATTGTGTCTGTGGTTCGTTCGTTTCCCTCTCCCATGCATGCAGCCGTCAGACGCCCCCGTCAGGCAGCGGCAGCGGTGACGTCTGTGGCGCCCACCTGCCCGCCGCTGCACGTTCCGCATCCAGATCTCACCCGACGTACGGCATCCCAGGACCAGCGGCTTCCCCAGCGTATTCCATCATCAGCTCTGTGCTGTGTGTTCAGTGGCGCCACTTCTGTGTTACTGACGCTCACGCCAGATCCACTCGGCCCGAAGCCTATCAAGAAGAACAACACACTGCCTTTCCCGAGGGTTCAACACGAAGGCACCCGTGGTGGCCAGGACACCAACCCCGCCCAGCTGGGGGAAGAGGACGACTGCGCGATGGCGCTGAGGGAGGAGACCCTGATGCACCATGTGATGACTGAGGCCACCATGGCGCACCCAGCCAGAGCACATCGAGGACGAGGGAGAGGACCTGGGCGTGAGCGGCATGATGAGCCGGAGGTCGGCGGGGATGCTGCACCACATCATGGAGGGCGACGACCGATTCTCCATTCCTGCACGTTTTGGCGGCCTCCCTTTCGTACCCTTCCTGGCTGACGCCGTCGGCACGCAGCCCCAGCCATCCCCCACACACACCATGGCCCGCATCATCCGCCGCATGACATGCCGCCAGCCCCCCGTCGCTCATCACTCCCGTCGCGTGCTGCGAGAGCTCAAGGGCCAGCAGTTCGCCATGGCCCGCGTGAAGCTCTTCCCGGACTACCTGCTGGTCGCCTTGAGCAACTCACCCACCTCACCCACGTTGCCGTCGCAGCTACGCACGGCGAGTGGTGAGCGCACAGCCGGCCTGGGCCATCTTCGTCATGGGGGGCCGGCTTAGCGTCCTCGAGGCAGGTCCTGCACCCGTCGACCCCCTTGAGGCTCTCTGTGAGGTGCCTGAGCCACGCCGCACCAGCCGCCGCATCTTCGTGCATAGCGCACACCTGGCGGAGATTGTGTGTGATGATAAGTATCATGCTGCTTGATCTGAGGACGGAAACTGCCTTATGAGTGATGCAAGGTGGGCGAGGAGGGACGGCGGGTGCATGCCGAAAGCAATTGTTCACGCCTAATATTTCTCTGTATGGATCTTGTGCAAGTGCAGCGCGGAGCTGTGCGCGAGTAATGCCGACGGCACCACCACTGAGGCGACCGATGCAGCGAGGTGTGTACTCAAGGTCATTCATGTTGTTGTTTCACTTTCAGACCACGCACCACCAGCAGCAGCAGCACCAGCAGTGTGCCTGCCGAGCATCGCACCCTCTCCCCCGTCACCACCCCTCCCGCCACCTACCGTTATTCTGTCGCCCCAAGCACCAGCCAGGAGCACCTGAGCACGCCAAACAGCAGGTTGCGGTTCTGTGCCTGCGAGAGTGCGGCCGTCTGCATCAAGACGGCTGTGCACGAGAGCGGGCTCATCGAGCCACTGATGAGCCACCTGCTAAGGGAGCAGTCCCTGGCGAATCCCCTGAGGCGCCACCTGCTCTACGGCACCACCGAGAACGAGAAGGCGGAGGAGCGGCAGTCACTTTACGAGCCGGGGAGGATGAGCCGCCGGTCAAGTGCCCTCTTTGATCGCATGTTGCGTGGCGACCGCAGCTTCCAGGAACCGGCGCGCTTCGACGGGCTGCCCTTCACCCCTTTCCTGTCCGCCGCCTCTCCCGCGACCAGCAGCAGCGCTATCACCCCCACCCAAAGCAGCGCCCCCGCTCCTTTCTCCCCGTTGCCGCCATCCCCACCATCGTATGTGCTCGAGGGGATGCAATCAGGGGAGTTCGCTATGGCAGCGGTCAAGCGGTCGACCATCAGCAGTCTGCCGACCGACGTGAGCGAGAGAGGCGGCCTCCCGCTCGACGGGCTGAGCGCCCCAAAGGTGGACGAGGTGACTCAGCGGCGTCTGCGGCTGGAGCAGCAGCAGAGGAGGTGGGCGATGGCGTATGCGACACTGAGCTGATGGACAAGGGCGTCGATGCCCACTCACACACCATCGTCAGCTGCAGCGACAGCCGGGTGGCCGGCCGGCTGCAATGCGACGATGTGAGCATGGCACTCAGAATTCACTCACCTAATATGCGTCGATATCCCATGTGGTTCGCGCTGTGGGTGCAGATCCCTGCGTACATTTTATATCCCTTGGCCCCTTTTCCCCCACACCAGGCGGAGGCGGAGGTTCAATTGGACCACAAGTATCTATCGTATTGCTGATTCAGAGGACGACTTGCCTTGTCGACGAAGCAAGGTGGGCGAGGGGAAGCCACAAGCAGTCAGTGACCATTTCTTGCCGCACACCACCTCATTCTGTGTGTATTTCCCTCTGTTGCACCACTGCATCATCGACGGCCACCAGCTCGCGGCGCCCAGCTCGGTGCTGCGCTTCGGCACAGTCGGCCAGGCGGCGGTGTGTTTGAAGAAGGAGAACGCAGAGGGCCTGGGAGGGCCGCAGGGCAGGATGGCGGTGGTGCACAACGAGGCGCTGATGCAACACATGCCCGCCGAGGCGGCGCTCTCACATCCTGCCAGGGCCGAGTCGTCTGGAGGGGGCACGCTGAGGATGTGGAGCGTGACGACGCGACCACGCTGAATAGGCCAGGCGCGATGAATCGCCGCGCCGCTGCCGTGTCTGTCCCGTCTTCACCCTTCAAGATCAGCAAACCCTGAACAATCTCAAGGATTTGGACGGGGAAGCAATCGAGTGGTGAGAGGCGGCGAAATGGAGTTCCGTGCGTTGACGTACACATCCACAAGAACACTCGCACAGATGCTTCGTCCCCACTGTCTGTCTGTCTGTCTGTCGGTGTCTGAAGACATGATGGAGGGTAAGGCCACCTTCCAGCGGACAGCCAGGTTCCTCGATAAGTGCCGCAACCGCGCTGTGGGCATTCACAACCTCATGGAGATGCTCAGTCGTGCCGCCCCTCGGTAAGGATCTCTGAGTGCTTGGCTGCACCATGGACGGACGGACGGATGTGGTTGTTTGCAATGCATCAGGGCACGCCGTGGCGCTGGTGCTCGGCTCGGCCAAGAGGAGGCTGCTGCTGCTGTGGCTGCGGCGCCCGCTGCTGCTGACTACAGCAAGTGCGACACGGATGCATGCCGTCAAGGTGGTGTGCGGTGCGGCCACCCACCTGTCAGCGAGAAGCTGCAGGCCAACAACGTGCGCCACGTCGCCGCCAACCACCCCGCCATTCTGGGAGAGAAGAATCGGCTGCCGTTTGTGGGGCTTTGTGTGGACGGACGATGACGGACCAACGCCCTGCTGTCATTTTCTGAGGTGCATTTGCGCATCGTCGAGATGCCCCGCCACGCCCAAGACGGCCCCTCTGCCACCCCGCACCTCGGCACGCAGCATAAGAGCATTCGACTGCCCCTTGGGTCCGTCACGCGCATCGACGCCGTGGAGATGGTGACGGGAAGCCTGATTCCGGAGGCCTGCGGCAAGCCATACTGCAGGGTGCCGGAGATGC